GAGTTCACTTTTATCTTCTCGTTGAAAACCAACCAGGGATATGGTATTTTTGTATCCCGAGCATTTACAGAATTCTATAGAAAAATAAAATATGAATGTGAAATTTCAAACCAAACAATAGTGTAAGGTATACTATCATTAATTTGTGACTGGATGGACGCATACTGAATAAAGAAGAACTTGGCCATCCTCCATCGTCTTCAGGGAAAATGATCTCTCATTATGCTGCATGTGTCATCATATAGAATGCTCAATAAAAGCAAACTGCTGAACAGAGAGAGAGAGAGATATTCAGGAGAAAGCACTCACCACAATCGAGCAGATTCCAGGATACAATCCATAGCAAATAACTGCTCGGGTAAGATTCTCATCATTCGCCCCTGAATTGCAGGTCGATGGATTTCCATCTATTAGTCCCGTATCCTTGAGTAATGAGAAGAACTCTTTTCGGAGGGAATCAATAGCTCTCATCGACTGCACTGAGAGAAAGTTTTTCCAGCAGTAATCATATACAGCAGACTCTTCCACAGCCCTTTTCCACCCCTCATATGCCCGAACAAGCGCAAGATGATCACTGTGATCACGTGAAAACTGGGATTTTGCGGCTTCTGCAAGCTAAAAAAAAGTTCAAAAAAAAACAGAACATCATATCTTAAGGTCTTTCAGCGGACACGAGAGGTTTCACAACACGTCCTACCATCTGATTTCAAGACAAGATATCTTAAAATGGTATAAAGTGCTAGATAACTAGTTGAACTGCATTAAATTTTATACATAGCGGGAAGGACTTACATCTTTCTTGTCCAGAGGTGTCAAGAAAGGATCCCTCACACTCAGGCCAGCCGCAACAGTCAATATGGGATCAAGGCAACCAAGAATAGCTCCTAGTATGAGCATTTTTCCAAGCTTTGGCTCCATTGGAAGCTTGGACAAATAGCGACCTGCAAAAAAATTCAGCCGCAGAAGAGAAATTCAGTTCTGCTACTCAAAACTATCATGACGCAGATGAAAGATAGCATCTTTCCTCATACCTAGAGTTGTGAGGTATTCATTCTCATCTAATGCCCCTATAATCTTCAGATATTCAATGGCCTTTTGAACCTGCGGCAAAGTTGAAGAAACCAAACATGAAGCAAAACAAAAGAGACTCAATATATTACTGTTTCATTGATTACTTTAATCTCGTCTTAAAATCGAACACCTACACCTGAGTAAACTTCTAAAAATCAGAAAATCTAACCAAGGATTAAACAAATAAGTCGTACCGCTATTAGTTCAGGAGATTGCAGCGCCCTTGATAGGAACTCAGATATGCTTCCGAGATTCAAGCTTTTGATTTGCAGACACAGTGACTGTAATGGCGTCCTCAAAATTTCAGGCAGCTGGTATTCTGCAAAAGCATCATATACAGACTTTGGGTAGAGATGATAACACTGTCCAGGTTGAACACGACCGGCTCTTCCTCTTCTCTGCAATCAGAGGCAGAGCATGAGAATCAACAGTAAAGATAACTAAATGTAAGGCCGGTGAGCAGTCACAGAAATAAGATTGTAGGCAGTGGATAATTATACTCAATTCTAATAGTCAAGTGTATTTGAAATGCAACATCACATAGCACAAACATAGAACCTCTAATAGCTGGTATATATACGTCTATATAAACCGTAACACTAATTTGATCCTCAAAAGCTATCAACTCTGAATAAACTAGCAATACCTGCTGAGCTGAAACCTTGGAAATCCAAGAAGGAAGCAAACATGGGGTATTATTTAATGCATCATAGGAGGTCTCTTTTGCCTTTCCACAGTCAATAACAAAAGCAACATCATTGATCGTGATGCTCGTTTCTGCGATATTAGTGGCCAGAACTATCTTTCTTACTCCACTTGCAGGTTCTTCAAATATTAACCTCTGCATTAACTCAAAATGAAGTAAACAGTAAATGATAAGTATGTTTTCACCCGTATAAACGTTCCATAGAACCATAATGCAGCTTGTCATCAGGAGAAAAACTTATAAATCACCTGCTCAAAACTTGCCATAGAACCATGGCAAGCAAGCAACATAACCCGGTCTGGATTGCCAAAGATTGGATGAATCTGGAGTTTATCTTTCAGAGAGCTGATATCGTCCCATCCAGTCATAAAAACTAAAATACCACCAGGACTCTCATTCTCACATATGTGGCAAAGGATAAATTCTATGAGATTAAAACCAATACAATCAGGATTCCAACAAGATAAAGACTCTCGAGTCTCAGGGCTAAATTCCTTGAAGTCAGCCCCTCTCAGTGCATCCTGGTTACACAAGAGAAAAAGCAATAAGGATCCAAAACGTACAACTAAACTAAGATAGACTGAAATTCTTTTTCTAATACCTCAACGACAGAGGCAATTTGGCTCTTCCTTTTTCTTGGGATCTGTTTGTTCATCTTCCACGATCTTTCTTGACCATAATCATCAACTTGATTGTATGGAGTCAATCTGTATCCGGACATCTCCAGAATATCTTCTAGAAAATGACTACGAACCGGATACGTAAAGCCCTATTGTGAGGAAGAAATAGAAGTAAAATATATAATTAATCAGATCAAATAAACTAATTAATGGTAAGTCAACAAAAGATTAACAAAGTCTTGAAATGTAGAGCGAGGGACAACAAATATTCAACCCACAAAGATCGAATAGTCATTTAACTTCCAAACAACCTCCTCAGTAGCATATTATGTTTCCTACTTACTGGAATGTGAATTACACCTGCCCCACCAAAGTATGACGAGAAGAGCTCAGCATCTAAAGTTGCACTCATCAGAATCAGCTTAAGCTCCGGGCGACGAGGTAGGAGATCTTTAAGAATGATAAGCAAGAAATCTACAACACAAAAATAATATAGTAAGAAATCGCATTCCAGCTAAGCTCAAAATGGGGAGCTCCACGATAACACAAGTATACCTTCATTCATTCCACGCTCATGAATCTCATCCACAATAACGTGAGTAACTCCTCTTAAATTTCTATCTACCAACAACCTTCTTAACAAAATGCCTGTTGTGCAGAAGAGTAGGCGAGTATCTCTTCCTCTAACACCTTCCAATCGAACTTTATATCCAACCTTTACGTTAAAGGTAAGAGAAACTTAGTCAGTGACTAGAGTGAGGAATTCCAAATATAAGGCTCCAAGCGAACTAGAAACTCACGGATTCACCCAACTGCTCTCCTCTCTCGTAAGCAACCCTCTCCGATACAGACATAGCAGATATCCTCCTTGGTTGAGTACATATGATACTGCAAAAAGCTCCACGATTTGCTTCAATCTCGGATTCTAAAATGAACTGTGGAATTTGTGTGGTCTTGCCACAACCTGTTTCTCCAGAGATAACAATAACCTGTCATAAGAAAATTTACCTGGATTATTGGAACTAATACAAAAATAAAAAGACTGTGAAGTTGATATTCGGCACAAGCATGCCTCCATTCTCTGCTTCGCATACCTGATTTTGTGAAATCGCAGTCAGTAGCAAATCCCTCTGCTTGAAAGCAGGGAGACATCTGCGACATTCCAGCATTCTCCGACCTTCTACCGATTCCTGATCAATGAAACACAAAAAAAATTAATAATGAAAAAAGACATAGGGGAAGAATAGTAACTTCAATATTAAGGAGCTAATATACACAGATAGGGGATTATACCGAACCTCCCAATATTCTTGTCGATCACGCAGCTGTAAATTCCTTCGCCTAAGAATGTTGTCCAGTGTCGTCTTGCTGGCAGCCATGGGCTCAGGTTGCTCAAGAAGCCCTTCATCGGTAGCGATGCTGCTTATGCTACTAGTTCTTGAAAAGGATTTGGCAGGGAATCTATCTATCCTCTTTGATTTTTTACTGAGGTATTCTCTGAGGTAAGCTTCAACTCTTTTAAGAAGATCCGCGTGCAAATTCACCTGTCAAGTTTGCATATTTTCTTTTAAGAAAACGCAAGAAAGATAAGCCTCTTGTCTAAGTCCAAGAGGAAGACATTACCTCCTTCTGTGGCTTCTTGTCATCTAGATCAAACCTATAGTTAGGGAGTGGGATCTTACTGAACACAACAACCTTAGCATATGCGTGACTGCAAAAAGAGATCTCTATAAAGAAATTTTCTTGTGAGAAACAACCACCGGCTAATTAAAACAAGCATAGAATGTGATTAATATAAGAGGGTACCTATACAATCCAAGACTTGTAGCGAGTTTCGCAAGTTTATCAAAATCCCTCCGATCTTTCTTCTCCCTGGAAATAACTTCTTGCTTTACAGAATCACGCAAAAGCAGAGACAACTTTCTTTCCCACTCGTCCCAGTTTGCACAATGAAATGTAACCTGCAAAGCTTATCTCTCAGCCGTTGAATAACTAACAAGACTTGACATTTTGGAACCTCGATATGGTTTCAGTAGGAAAGGAAGAGACTTGCAACAGATTCTGGAATACTAACTCAAAAGGGGGGTTTCAAGAAAATGGTACTCGATAGCAAAATGAAAACTAAAATCGCCATTGGAGGAGTATCAATAAGCTCAATTGCTCCTTTGAACAAACGAATTAGGCCTCAAAAGGGGTATGCAAGAAAAGATAAGAGAAAAAGAAGTTACCGTCTCGCGATCAGAAGCTTCGACGGAAACGCGGTCATCGTAGGCAGAGACATAGCGAATGGGCAAGAGAGTCTGTTGTGATTGCGAGTGGGAGAGAGGAAGAGGATGAAAGGCGTAATCGGGAGGGAGAGAGCGAAGTCGCTGGTGCGGCGGAACGTAGAGGGAAGGAGGAAGACGATCCTTCATCGGAGAAAGCAAAGCCAAGTCGTCTTTCAAAAAACAGAAAGTAAGTAATCTTCTTTAAGCCGACGAGATCTCCGGTCCAAGGATTAAACTACTTTTACTTACAGACTGGACTTACCGTAATAACTGATACCAATTCAAAAAATTTACCTTAATACCCCTCCAAAATTCCTTTATTTAGGCAAAGTCAAGTTTTAAAATCTTTAACGATATATAAGATTAGGATGTTTTTAATTTCTCACATACATATCATCGTCACTTGTGTGAGTTCTTCTCATGGATGGAAACAAAGACAAAAACAAAACAAACAAAAATAAAAGGGAAAAACTTCAAAAAGAGACAACAAGGGTCCTTTATTACGATCTGTTTAGGGTTGGGACCAGATTTAAAGAATCAGTAGGTGTAACCCTTGACGAACATTCCTTTCTTGGCATCCTCGTTCTCGCCCTCGGCTGAGTATTTGCCTAGCTGGGCAAGTGAGTTGGCCTTTGCCCTAACCAAGAGAGCCTTCTGCGAGGCCTCGATCTTGTCGGGTTTCCCTTGCCACGTCCTGAGCACAGAGTTCTGCAGGGCACGTGCGTAGGAGAAGGACACATGCCAAGGGTTCGGGCTCTGGTTCATGGCGTTCAAGTTCAGCGTAGCCTCCGCCTCAGATTGTCCTCCAGACAGAAACATGATCCCTGGAACAGCAGGAGGAACTCTCCTTTTGAGCATGGTGAGCGTGAACTCTGCAACGGTCTCTGGAGAGGCCTTTTGCTTGTGCTCAGCACCTGGTGTAACCATGCTCGGCTTCAATAGTATGCCTTCAAACATGACGTTGTTCTGCGCCAAGTAGAAGAACACCTCCGACCACACTTTCTCAGCAACCTCCAAGGTCCTCTCGATAGGGTGGTCACCGTCCAGAAGGATCTCTGGCTCCACTATAGGCACAAGCCCGTTGTCCTGAGAGATGGCTGCATAGCGAGCTAGACCCCAAGCAGCTTCCTTCACAGCTAGTGCTGAAGGACCGCAAGGAATACTCACAACTGTCCTCCTGGGACAAAACACACAAATACATAAACATTTGCTCAAATTAGAAGCCACCAACCCAAATAAGTCATTATAACAAGCAATGCAAATGAGACATACCACTTGGCAAAACGAGCGCCTTGCTTGTAGTACTCAGCAGAGCGTGAAGCCAATCCATCCAACCCTTGGCACCAAGACTCTTCGTTGGAGCCAGGCAGTGGAGACAAGCCCTGTACAAATAGATTCGATTGTGATGGTCAGAATTTGAGAAACAAATACTCAAACGATGGATACAGTAGTCGAAAATATAGACAGAACCTTGTCAACTTTGATGCCAGGGACGATGTTGGCATCGCGCAAGCAATCGACAAACGTCTTGCCGTCCTTGGTGGACTGGTAAAGAGTCTCTTCGAAGAGAATGGCACCGGAGATGTAATCGCCGAGGCCAGGGGTGGTTAGCAGAAGTTGCCTGTAAGCCTGACGGTTCTCCTCCGTGTTGTCCAACCCAATAGAAGCGAGCCTCTTCCCACAAGTTGCATTCGACTCATCAATCGCCAAGATACCTCTCCCAGGTGATGCAATGCTTTTCTAATTTACAGATTTACGCGAATCGCAATCATAACCACTTAATCAGAATCAGAATCATCATGGTTTGACTTTGTAACGAGAGTGTGAGAGTTCGAATCGAGTGGGAAACTTAAAACGATAGTAAGGCGGTGTAGTAGAATTTCGCATGAAATCCAGAGTAGAAAAAGGAAACAAAAGGGAGGAAACTCACGGCGGTTTTAACAAGCTCGTCGGAGTAAGCACCGGCGCGGATCGCAAAGGAGACTCGAGGAGCAGGAGAGGAGGCAGAGGAGTGAGCAAACGATCGCTGGGAGATCCATGGAGAAGAGAGGGCGTTTAGCTTAACGAAGCTCGTAGACGCCATAGTAGAGAAGTGGTGATCTCTCGGGGACTCCGCGGGACAGAGAGAGAGAGAGAGAGAGAGAGAGAGAGAGAGAGAGAGATCTAGGATTCGAGAGAGGGAGAGAAAGGCGGGATCTGATGCGATTCTCTACTTTGGCTTCACCTACTCCCACCAAGCACCTCCTTTTATTTACCGTATTACCCTTTACTGTAAATGACGCCTTTAGCCTTGAGGGAGGGATGTAATGGTAATTTGGCGGGACGATTATTGCAAAAGCATGACCCATGAGTCTCTTTGTTAGACGCCAACAACGGTTCATATGCTTCATTTTTCAACAAGGATACCTAATCATTAAACTTGAGATTAACCTAAAACCAAAAAAAAAACATTAAAAAATTAGAGAATTTGGACTGATGACTGGATTTCTTCTGCCTAAAGTACCCTCAGTGTAACCTTTGCCTCTTCTTAAAAGCCAATAGTCCTAAATTAAGAGACAGCCAATGGATGCTGCTATAAGCTTTTTCTTAATAGTCAATTACAAGGCCTAACCTCCTAAAAGTGTGTGAAAAAGAAGGACCGAATATTCCTTTTTCTTATTAGTTGGGCTAAGAAGAAGTGCCCAAACAACAAACTCCACGTAAAGAAATGGGATATATACAATACATTCTCGCGTAATTAGTTGTTGGGCCAATTAAGAGTGGGCTCAGTTGCATGCTAGCAAGATGAGCCCACGACGGCTTTGGCTGTCAGCCTGTTACGTCCAAATATTGGTGTTGTACTTGTAAAAGGCGCAGAAGATGGAAAAGAATTGAAGAAAAAGGCCTAAGAAAAGTTCAAGTTCCAAGGTTACGTTATGAGAGATGTTCGTGGGCCGTATTCTTGTTTTATCTAACACTTTTCTCATTTCTGTCATAATCTTTCTATTATTGTATGAACACACGCCCAACTTTTTTTTATTACATATATATTATGTGTTAAAACAAAAATTATAACAAAGTATATACGTCATCAGTTATATGTACATTTTTACAAAATTGTAAAGTTTATTTGCAAACAAAAAAAAAAAATCGAGATTATGTCCGAGTCCTCCAGTTATGCATGATAACAAAACACTCTCTCTTTTTAGGCCAAAGTCTTTATTGTGTCATGTGTGATGATGTATCTCGTTCACATAACATTCAAAAGTTTTACCAAACAGCCTTCGTATATTCTCATTACTTGTTGTTTTCCTCTCTTTCCATTTTTTTATTATTTTACCGTCCTTCATCTTCATCCTTAAAAGATAGTACCTAATTAATTGTGTGTACGTCTCTCTCCCTTTCTTAATCGCCATTCTAGTACTATGTATTCATAAAATAAAGACAAATTTTGAAATTTGGTAATAAAAAAACGGTGTGTAAAGTTCCTTTCTCTGCACTCGAAAATGAATGGTGTGACCTCATTACTCATTAATTACCTAATCCTTCTAGAGTCTTCTTCTACACTGCCTACAAGTACTTAGAATAAATAAAATATGTTGTTGTTGTTGGAGATCTTTGATTGAAAAACACTTGAGTCACTATAGCAAAGAATTTTAAACGCGAAATCCCCGAGACGCGTCTTAATACAGTTCACATTGCACATGTCACCACCCAGTAGAATTTGACTCTCAGATCTTTCTCGGTGTTTGTGTTCACACTTCACCACGCTCTATTTTAAAACGCTCAGGAAAAATAATTTCAAAAAGAAGAAGGTTATTTGTCATGTAACGAAACGTCGGAACCAATTGAGTAAATTGATTGACTGGTTGGTGCGTGAGGAGAGCATATAGGACCACGTTGTTACTTGTTTGGCAATTCTTATACAAACCCTTTGTCCTTTCCTTTCTTCATCATCTCTTCATTTGTCTTTTTCATTGATGTTAATTTTTAGTTGATTAAACTAGAACGTCGACCTATCTATTAATTGGTAATATATATATAGTTAAAGCACTGATGACTGATCATCGACTAAGCCTAATGGAGAGGGGTTTTGGTTTATATATAGACTTGTATGTGAAATTTATTTCATAAATCATTTGTACGTTTTGACGTACAAATTCTAGTTTTTCCTTTCTTATTGGTATCAGTATCCGGTTAAAACCCGATTTCGAAGTAAACATGTTGTTAACCAGAAATGTTATTGCACAGAAAACATTTGACATTCTTAAACAAACAAACAAAAATATTTCTCCAAAGTATTTTATACTATGAAATAGATAGAGTAACTTTTTTCAAGCAAATAGATAGTATCCATTCAACATGCATGTATCTAATTAAGATGGTTTAAGCGTCTACGACTACAAAACAATGAAATAGAGGGAGTAACTTTTTTCTAAACAAATTGATTTTATCCATTCAGCATATCTAGTTAAGATGGTTTAATCGTATACGAGTATAAAACAATAAAGGGGTGGATTAAACACGCACACGCTATTAATTCAAAGATTCCATTGGAATCACAACCACGGAATTAGGATCAAGAGATGGTGAGTGGTTTATAATTTGGGCTTATGATACGTTAAATCGAGAGATGGTCAAATAATTGAGTACAATTAGGTCAAAGAGAGTCGAGGTGGTTGTCTCTGGTTGGCTATTTCAATGACTTAATTAGATATCTTAATCTCAACTTGTGTCTATTTTTAAGAGTCCCTGGATTTCCATATCTTTTTGGACGGCGGGACACCTAAACATTTCAATTCCATTTAATTATATCTTCTCCAAAGCTTTCTTTAATTACTAGTATAATTATTTAATCAAAGACTAAGAGTAATAATCATTCGTAGATAGCACGAAGTGAATACTTGCATCAAGAGAACTAGTATCATAATTCGATATCATATTAGGGAACAAGTATATATATGCGTCATGCGGGAGACAACAAGCGAGGCGAGGATCGTGCTAAATCTTCGTCGGTTACACAAATAAATAGCTCTTAAGCTTTTAAAAAATAGCCATAGGTGATAATTAATTAATTAGTTCCCTGTCAGTTGTTAATTAAGAATGTTTACAAACCGCCCACTTTAATTTTATACTATTTCGTAAAAGGCTACTTCTCCAATGTTCTACACTTGAGTAAATCAATATACTATTGAGTACCATAGATGGTGAGGAATAATTGAAAATAAAATGAAGCCATTTATAAAAACACTAATTGAAACATACTTAATTAGCTTGGATTAATGATGTGTACTAGTATCATTTAACTATGGTTGACAGTACTATTGCTATTTTTTTCATATTGAAGTCGGTCGATATAAGACAGATTAAATAAAAACGATATATATTTTAGCGAATAGACTTTAAAACAAAAATATCAGTAGTTTTACTTCTCATATAAAGTTACGTTGATTTGGCATTGAAATTAGTCACAACTTAAAAAGATATATTTAGTTGTTTAGAAGATTCAGAAAAGAGTGGTGTTGGTTTGTTGCTCCAATGGGGTTGATATTTGGAGTTAATGTGATTAGTGGAGTAAGAACAAACATTACATTTAATTTGGATGTTACCTTGAAATTCCACGTATCACTCGTGACGCATTATCATTTTTTGTTTTTCAGTTTTTTTTGTGTGTGTGTATCTTCTGGTTCCAAAACTCTCAATCATCGAAGGCCCTTAAATCTGTTTGGTCTTTGGGAATAAGGAGTAGCTAAAGCTAAAGCTTAGCTTCGTCATCTTCTTCCGTGTGAATTCAACCACGGACCGCTTTTGACTTTCTCTTTCTCTTGTTTTTCCTATGAAGTTTCATAAAAATCGGAAAATCGGGGAGGGGGAAAATTGAAAATTCGAAATTATTTGGGCACTGTTTGTGATAAAATGAAATTATTTGGGTCCGTTAATATGAAGATGGGAAAGAAAATGAAAAGGACTGATAGTGATAGGGTTAACAAAAAGCAAACAGTAGGTCCCACAACACGTGGCCTGTGTCATTCATCTCTCTCTCTCTTCTCTCCTTTCCTCTTCTTCCATATAAAGAAGAGAGCAGATACCAAAAATAAATAAATAAAATTATACAGCAAATCCCTAAAATCCAATTTCCCATCGGAATCGGATTCATCGGCAATCAACAACAACAACACACACTCGAAGAAGAAGAAGAAGAAGAAGAAGAAGAAGAAGAAGAAGAAGAAGAAGAAGAAGAAGAAGAAGAAGAAGAAGAAGAAGAAGAAGAAGAAGAAGAAGAAGAAGAAGAAGAAGAAGAAGATGGGATTACAAGGTCAACTCTCCGACGTCTCCTCCGATTCAATCCCTCTGATGCTCGTTGCTCTCCTCGCTACTTTCTTCAAACACGTTCGCTCTTTTCTCCTCCGTTTCTCCTCCTCCGGTCCTCATCTCTCCGTCGACGATGCTTCTGCCTCGGTTTCTTCAGGACTCGAGAGCCTCGTCGTCCTCGCCGACCAGCTCAAACTCAATCGCGTATTCTCCTACCGCTACGCCGATACCGCCGCCTCCGATTGCATCGTCTGTTTGTCTACACTCAAGGCCGGAGAAGAAGTGAGGAAGCTCGATTGCAGACACGTCTTCCACAAGGAGTGTTTGGAAGGTTGGCTACAACATCTCAATTTCAATTGCCCGCTCTGTAGATCTCCTTTGGTCGCTCATGGAGGTGGTGATTCGATCTCATCTTTTCCTCTTCAATCAGCCACTGCATCTCATTGATTGTTCATTCGATGTGAACCAAAAATGAAGAAGAAGAAGAAGAAAGAGAGAAGAAGAGTTTTGGGTGTTTTTGATCTCGTCGCTTTCTCCTCTTTCTTTTCTCTAGTGAGTCGAAAAAAGGGGATTCTTAAAAAAATTGCCTTCTATATTTTTTTTTTTTGAGGAATCTCAGATGAATCTCAGATCTCGGAGAGGTCCTTTGGTGTTTTGATGTAAATTATTTAGTATGAAAAAAGTAGTCTTGTTTAGCTTTTTGTTGCTATATATTTTGTGTTCAAATTTAGAAAATTGAAGATTATACGCATATGGAAAATATTTGTGTACAAGACAAAACTACTATCATCTACCCATATTGCATTTTATTCTCTGGTTTAAGTTTATGTTTTAGTTTATAGTTGAATTTGGATATGAACTCAATACTGGAATTTGGTATCTGTGCGATACTGCGATTCTTTGCTAAAAAAATTAAAGAAAGACGGCAGCTGAATTTTGTTGTTGTTGAACACTGTGATCGGTTTTCACGTTTGGTCGCTATTAGATCGACAAACAAAAAAGAATAACATATTGATAGCCATTGTAACATTAACCTAGAAGAAGACCTGAGTTCTTTACAAAACCTTTTTTTTACCCGGCAATGGCAAACTCTGTTTGTTAACTTAAGAAACAACCTTCGACTGCCTTTGTTATTACAAGAAATGTCAGTGGGCTTTCTGCGAGTTAAACATAGAAAAGAACATGAGACTAACCCTGAACCCAATCAGAAACTTGACCGAAATCGAAGGGTAAACCAAGTAAACCGAATAGCTAATGACCCACACAATAAGGTATTGATTGTAAGATATAAACATATATGTTTCTTAGTTAGTGTATAAAAAACAAATAAACCTGGGAATTTTGCATATTATCTTGTTATTTAAATCTGTTTAACGAGTCATTTGTTGTATCAGATTCCGCAACTAATCTCATTTTTACATAAACAATCAATTGCTGCACTCAACCACAAGAATTCAACTGTAAACCCCAAAAAGGAAATATGTCTTATTTTGTTTTCTAACTACAAAACGTGAGGTTTAGAATTTTGTAGTAGTGGAGTTGGCTGTAATGTAGTGTGCAAGTTGAACCCAATAGAAAATTTTCCGACATAAAAATCATAATAGCATAGATTTACTTCTTTTTCTTTTCAAATATGAGTGGTTAAGCGGAGAAGGCTTTAATTCCTAAAGAGTCTTTTTGTGGAATGCTATTTTGGAAGGGTAAAAAAAAAGGCTTAAAAAGACTCTTTTTGTTAAATGGTATTTAGGCTAAATACAGAGTACGGACTATAGAACATGAACAAACCAAAAAAAACATCTACTGTACGTAGCTTTTTCTTTTGATTGTTGTGTACATGTTTTTTAGCTTTGTAGACTTTGATGTCAAATGAATTGGTGCTTCAAAACACTCCTCTTTCAGCTTAAATAAAGTTTTATTGCGATCAACACAACATTACAAGGTGATCTGAACAAAAGAAAACCACTGATTTTACAAGATAACATATTACGAAAGGAGTATGAATAAGACTGGTTTAACAGCTTTCTTGACGAAAAATGGTATTTTGTAGTTTTGAGTCCCTTTTGCCAATGAAGTTTCGACTAGATTCATTGAGAAATACTAAGGTCATAAATAAACACAGAGCTGGATAAGGGTAAATAACAGCTTAAATGCCTTTACTATAAACAAGAGTATAAGACTATAAAAATAAGAGTAACAAACATGAAACAACCCCCACCAAAGAAATTGAAAAAAGTTGTTTCAGCTAAGAATGTTGGAGACAGGACCAGTGAACCAATGGCGGGCGCTTATAAGCCAATACGAGAGGACTATGGCCAACAAACCAGCGACTGCCACTGGAGTGTAGTTCAGTGTCTCTGCAGTTATGGGATATGCCACAGGAAGTGAGAAGAGCACGGAGATGGTTGCAACCCACAGGACTGCCACCCACCCGACGACCACTCCGTAACTCCCGAGGTTGAATGGTCCAGCCACAAAGGTTTTGCTTGACAACGTCACTCTAAGAAGGATCGGTATTGCGTATGCTATGTACAGTCCAATCGTTGCTATCGACACCATTGCTTGGAACGCCACTATGCTCCCCAGTGACTGCCAATTTTCATCACATCAATCAAAATACATCAAACCCAACACAGAGAGAAGAAGAGAGACAAGGAGGGGACTTACAGTGAGTGCCATGCAGAACGATATGGAAGCAGAGAGCCAAACTGCGTTAATGGGAACCTCTTTGCTGTTCACTTTGTGCCATAACGGTGACAATGGCATTGCTCCATCTCTCGAAAACGCATAAGCCATCCTGATTTAGACCAAATACATACATATGATCAAACCCAAAATTCAAACAGTGCTCTAAGCCTTCAAAACCAAACACAAACACATACCTGGAATTGCTGGTGACAGAGCTCATGCCGCAGAAAAATACAGCCACAGCAACAATGCCTAAGCACACGATTCCACCAGTACCACTCCCAAACCTGCTCTTGAAAGCTAAATAGAAGATCTCAGCAATGGCGTACCCACCAGAGTCGTTGGTCTCACTCAGGAGGTAAGGTATGTCTGTGACAGTATAGCTTATGCCTAATATATAACCCCATCCAAACAGAATTGATATCCCAATTGCACTGATTATTCCTCTTGGACCGTTCTTGTCTGCATCGATCGTCTCCTCAGTCTACAAGTTTTATAATTTGTTCCATCATCAAGAAAAGCTTAACAACAATCATAAAAAAAAAAAAGATCCATTTGTTTTTCATAGTTACTCACCATGTGGGCAGAGGCATCATACCCAGTGATGGTGTACTGGCTCATGAGGAGCCCTAGAACGAATATGTAAGCGTAGTTGGTAATGCCTAGGCCATTGTCAGTGTTGAAATTGGTGAAGACAAACTTAGTGGTTGCTCTTTCCGTAGATACCAAAGGAATCAGAATCATGAGCACCAAAACCCCTGAATAAAGAGATACATTAACTTACTGTACTTAGCTTTTATTGAGACATAAAACATAAACAAAGAGATGAGTTACCGAGTAGATTCCAGAGAGCAGCAAGCTGTCCAATGAAAGACAAGACCGAGATTGGGAGGCTGTTGAGAAGTGCATGTATGAATAAGATTCCTCCATGGATTCCAATCACAACATAGTCAGATCCTTCATATCCTCCGCCGTTTTTACCACCGGTGGAGAGAAGCGCGATCACCTGAATCAGCTGTGCCAGAGAGAAGTCAACGCTCGCCGTCACTGCCCACTACAAACACGGAAACCACAACTCATTTACTTTAGCCAGCCACATAAAGTGAAGTCTGGTCATTATTGGTTATAATCACACACCTGACCAACGATGTTGAACCTGAAAGATTGTGAAAAAAGTAATTAGAGAGACGCTTTGCTTTCCAAATCCAATTTGATTAGAAGAGAAGCAAGATTCATGCAGAAGAGAGAGAGTGTACCAGCCGGTCAACCAAGAGGCAAGTGGGGCCCAACGAGGGCCGGCGAGCATAGCACTCCAGTAGTAGAGACCACCGGAAGTTGGGTAAGAGGAGCAGATCTCGGCCATCGATAACCCCACACACATTGTGAACACTCCGGCCACGAACCATCCGTAGACAAGAGTGACGGTGCCGCCGAATCTCAGGCCGGTGTTGTAGGTGGTGGTGATCCCCGTGAGCACCGAGATGATTGAGAAGGAGATGGCGAAATTGGAGAAGACCCTGATGTCAAGTTTTTACCTTTTTTAGAGAAAATTGAAATCCAGAAGAAGGAAAAACTAAGGGAAAGAGTTAGAGAGACAGACGAGAGATCGCGCTTGAGCTCTTGCTTGTATCCGAGCTCCTTGAGGCGGGCTTGACCGGAATCCATGTAGGGAAGGAGGAGAGATTGTTCGCCGGAGGAGGAGCCGCCCATAAGTTGCTCCCTCCCCTCCTATAGGCTGTACAAATCGAATCGGATATTTTTCAGTTACTTACGTACCCCTCCAAAAGTCTAATCTTTTTCCTCCTTTTTGTAAGTTTATGCCATAAGCAATTAAGCATGTTGTACTTCTAGTAATAAAAGAACCAATTGAGTCTCGAATCCGTTATTTCTTGATTCGTAGTGTTCTTGAATCTTGATGCACACACGCATGTTACTTACATTTTGTTTTGTGTGGAAAAAACAGCTATATATAATTAAAATATCGAGATTCTGCATTTATGTAGTACGAAATTCAATTTAAAAAGTTATTAGCTTTCTTTTATTGTATACTCTGTTCAAATGTCAAAAACTATCAAGTAATTCTGTTTCAACTAAACAAAAATAATACAGAAGCCAAAAAAAGACAAAAATATGAAGAGTTGATTTACAAATGGAAGGTTACAACAAGTAGAGGTTTTCAATACACAGATGCAACTTTACTATAGCATCCACACTCTCACGAGTCACGACGACCAAAATGAAAAGAAACCCAAATAATGAATCAAATGATATGATGAAATAGAATGAATCATCTTGGAGCAGAGGAAGTGCCAGATTCCATGTTTTCAAGGGAAGTTGAGTCAACCTGCAGAGACATTGTCCTCAACACATCTCCGTTTTGTTGTTGTCCTCGTTCCTGAGCTGCTACAAAATAGGCGTAAGGACCCCATCCCTCTTCATGGTAAGGATTGGGATAAAACTGACGGTAACAGAAAGCAGCCACAAAGAGGCCAATGAGTGCTCCGGCGAAGACGTCTTGCCAATGATGCCAGTAGTCATCCACACGTGATATCCCCACGAGACAAGCAGCGAGAAGAGGAAGGAACACGAGGCAAAGCTTAGCCACGTGCCCTTCTCTGTTAAAGGCCTTGATTTTACCAGACAAGTAGAGCGAGAGGAAGCCAAGACCCGCAAAGGACCATGAAGTGTGTCCACTCGGGAAGCTCTTATGACCTTCCTTGACCTCACCTAATTTGCCATGGCAAATCACACCTCCCAAAGCATCATACAGCTCTTTCCCGTCAGGGAAGCAACGCCAGTAAAAGTTAGGACGAGGCCGTCCGGTGGCTAGCTTGATGGAGTCAGTGATGATACCAGTTATCAAGACGGTGAAGAGAAGCCCGAGAATGCTGTGGTGGAGGTCGTAGACGCATGTCCTCTTCATGTAGAAGCAGACGAAGACTATGATTGGAAGCAGCACGGCGTAGATTGGCACGGACCAGACCGGGACGGTGTTGTCATTGAAAGGGTACTTGAGATCTGTCATCATGTCTCTTCCCACGTATCTGTAGAAAGGAGGTATGAGTTGCAAACCGATCTCGATGCCCACCAAGATCACAAGTATGATCCAATCGTGCTTGTGTTTAGTGGCTACACTGCCTCCATGGCTCCTTATTGTGTGAACTCCAAGATCTATCTCTTGCATCCTCCCTCTCTGCGGCTCCTGCTCCTGCCAACAAAACACAATCAAGTCAGCATTGTAATGTAATTGGATCAAGAAACAGTTGATGAATAAGAAATACTACTTGAGAATCAGGGTTTTGCGTCTCCGATTTGGACCAGCGTAATAACGGAATGCAATTCATTCTCAGTCGCATAAAATCAGTGACCAAATCAGGCAATGGATACGTTTGATTGTGAAGCGCAGTTTCTTAGTGATATAATTTGTTATTACCACGACAACACTTGCTCTACAAATCCAGCCATTTTCGTCTGTCTGATTCGCTGTGCTAAGCACACTGGTTCATTAAACTATAGTTTCGTTTACTTTTAATGGGTTTGTTTTTTCAATTTTAATGGAAAGAGAACATTTTTTTTTTCTTTTAAAAGAGAAAATTACTAAAATTGGATAATATGGAACAAGTGGAAGAGAGAAGAGTCGGTTAAGTTACCTGAGATTTGCCCCAGAATTTGAGAGAAGAGAAAAACGATCCAAACACCATCGGAAAATAAAGTAAGATTTTCAACTTCTTCTCAATACAGAGAGATCGAGGCTTAAAAGCAGTGTGGATCGAAACTCAAAAAAAAAGAGAAAAACAAGACGATGCCGCGAAGAATTAAGTGATGATATTTTCCGGTAATTATGAACCACCAAGAGAGAAACAGAAGCCGAGAGTAAGTAAAGACAAAAGAAGACGCGTTGGCTTGTTGAAATATCGCAACTTTTTTTGTCGGAAACTTTGAAAACAGGATTTCCCCCACTTGACGGTTTATAGAAAACAGAGAGATTCAGATGAGAGGTTTATAAACTTCGTCTTTCTCGTTTGCGTCAGATTTAATGCCACGTCAACTAGTTTCGTAGACTTCTGACTTGTCACCGGGTCAAATATGGCATTCTCCTCCAAGCCGCGTTCGGAAGATTCGGAATATCAATGCTTGTGGGCCTGTAAATATCTATCTACGTGGGTTTTTTAATTAGGCCGAAATATGGGCCTTCTTTCCTCTTTGCCTTGCAATGTGGTGTTTTGTTTTTGTTTTTTGGACTTATTTAACACTCGAATATCATAAATTCTCACACTCACACCTAATAAGAAGCATAGATTTTGGAAGCATCCCAATAAAATTTTCTTCAAACGCACTGAGAATCGTTCGCAATTCGCAAACCAAAAGAAAAATAAATTTAAATTATTGATCTGATAAAATATATAAATATATATATATATTTTTTTAAAAGAAGATTTGATCTATTCAAGATATCACATATCGTGACTCTGATTATTTTTAGATAAATGCGAATATAAATCAGATCTCGAATATTTAAGATATCCAAAAGAAAGAATCTATATATCTTCTATTTTTATTTTTTTTTTAAAGGTGAAAGAATCCAAAAGTGGATCTCATTGATGGAGAAAGTAGAAACAACTGTTTCGTGAGTGCCAAATAGAGAGAGGTTGAAGTAAGTGATCAGGTAAAAAGCCACAAGTCTGTTTTTTTTTAGTACTTTCTCGGACGTCAGAGATGTTTGATGACTGAGAATGTTTGTTTATTCATTTTTTCTCCAACCAAATTTCAAAAGATTATCACTTGGATTTTCAAATCATCCTTATCCTAATAACGGGTACTTGATTCATCTCTATCTCTTTAAAACAACAATTATATGACAATAAAAAAAAAAAAGATGGACAAAGTTGACAATTATTGTTGAACTATGTAGAAAAAGAGTTTGTGGAGTACGCGATTAGACCAAGAACATCCTTTTTCATTTCCCTTGCGTCTTTACCAACCAGTAATATCTATACTTAAAACTGGTTTGCATATAGTGTGATTAATAATTGTGTTAGGGGCTTAGGGCTATATAAAACATTACAGATTTTTAATAACATAGAGTAATTGAAAATCTAGGTGGAATGTGTACAATTTATTTCTTGCATTAAAAAAAATTATACAAAACCAAAGACAATGATGAGTGAAAAATGTAGATTGTTTTCTCTGTGTGGAGAGTTACACACACTATACTGAGTGGGGTTTGTGGGTCCAGTAGGTGATGGGCTTCTTCATGGCCCACGCTTAAATTGGGATACATCTTTTATGTTAATTTTTTTTTTCCCTCACATACATTATGAACTGTTATACTTTACAGATTTTACCTGATTATTGCCAGTGCATTTGCAGTCACGACTCACACCACTTTTAGTTAATGAGGAGAAACAAAGAAGACAATGAAGATTGCTTCACAGTCTGCAAAAATATTCAGATAAATCCTGTCTTTTCATAAATTGAATAAGAGAATGGTTTTAAGGTTATTGTTTTGGAAAAATAAATATTTTTATGTTAAAAAAAGTAAAAGAAACAAGGGAAAGAAGGCAACAGGGAGGTCAATCCGAAGGTTTTGACGACATCTCGGCCTCCGAGACACCAAAAAAGTTACGCAAAAAACCTGTAAAAACGAATCATATTTAATAAGTACAAATTAAAATATACGAAAGAGAGAAGCTTGCCAGCTATATTTTCTTTCCTGAGCTGTTATTTGTTGGACCCACTTTTCCTCCAAGTATCCATATTTGCCATGTCTAATTTGTCCATAGTTTTGGCCTTAATTCAGTTACATTTTGTTTCTTTTTTAAAAAAATGTTCTAGTTTCCACACTTTGGATTTATTTTTATTACTATTATTTAACTACAATTGAAGACCAAATATTTGTACCAAATTTAGCCAATCAATTCAGAGATCATATCACGTCATGTTTTGGCGATGGCAAAATCTGATTTTAACGGAAGAAACAACCTCCGACGTCGTTTTTGGTTATTAATTGACAACAATGCCATTGGATCTTATGCCAATTGAGTCCCAAAAAGAACCCTGCACTAATCCGAATTCAACATTCTTCCTCTAACTTCTATCTGTCCTTAGTACGAATAGATTAATTCTTTTCTCAAACACCGCTGCAATATTGACTCGTTGAGTTTGAGTATTACCTTCCTTTCTAGAGTCAAACATGGAAGTTATGCTCTGACTGCTGCACTGCACCGACAAAAAAAGTAAAATAAACAGGAATTGCTGATGTTACACTGCCCATCAACATATACTTTCCCAACATTAGATTCACGGCTAATTTGTTCAGACTAGCCATCTTGTTAAATTGCTTATATAACACAGTGGCGAAGGGAGAAATTTTATTCATTATGGGCAAATAGGGATATACACAGATTTATAAGTGGGGCATTAACATAGAGCTTATTAAAATACACCAGTTTTTTAAATTTTGTTGGGGTCAAATGCTCCCATGTTGTTACATGTGGCTCCGCCACTGATATAACAGACGAAAACAGACAAGTGTGACTGTGTGAGAAGCAATCAGTAAAGGTAAGCCAAAATGATTGTGTTGACTACGGATGCTGTCATGCTGAGCCTTTCATTTTTCTTAAAACATAGTCTAATATCCCTCACTTAGTAACGCACACTCCTACGTCTATTGCATATTAGTTCACCATATACAAAGACAAAGTCAATTCTAGTTTATAGACGATGACCCGTCCATTGAAAGGAATACACAAGTTTTATGCATTCTCTTGAACAGTTAGATGTTCGAATAGGATCCTTTTCAAGTTTATGAATCTTATAATATGCTACTTTGCCTTATATATCATCGACTGTAATGACAGTGGCACCCATTTTCCTTTGAGTTAATTAATTCAATACCAAAGAATAACTTAAAAATTAACTAAATACAATGGATAACTAAAAATTAAATATATAGGAAAGAGAAAATAAAAAACAACCAAAAATATCCTTTCTATTACATATTTACACAAATGCCATTTGTCTGAGATTTTTGTTTTCCGACAAGATATGTCAGTAACACTGTTCATCGCCAGCTTCTGATGATATTGTTCATCATATATTTTTTATCGACAGATACTGTTCATCATCAAAAAGTTATATACAGTTTGAAAATATGGTGGTTAACTATTTGTTTAACATGATAACTACTATATCGCGATAAAATTATATAATTGACATGATAACAATTATATATATATATGATATAGAATGATACAACAACAAGCTTACATTTAGATAAGATGTTAACTTTTAATAGATAACTATTTGTTAACATGTTAACATTAATATCTGATACTAATAACGTGTTAACAATAATATATGAGATTTGTTAACGTGATAACAATAAGATATGATGCTTGTTAACGTGTTAACAATATTATTTGTTGGTTGTTAACGTGCTAACAAATAATATATGATATTTTGTAACATGTTAACAATGAAATTAATACCTGTTAACGTTGTAATAAAAATAATATTTGCTAATAACAAAACCAATATTTTATACCAATACGGTGACCATTGTGTCATCACCAATGTCACCGGCACTGCACAATCACCATCGTCTACCAGCATAACCAATATGATGGTGGAGTCATATTCGTCGCCGTTGTTTCACTATCGTCGCCGTCGTTATAGCCGTTACCACCTTCACCATGGACTACTGTTTTCACTGTCATTGTCAATATCACCAATTTACACTTCAACCTACTCCATCCTTCATCGTTCTTCTTCTTCTTTTCTTTCTTTTTTTTTTATTTTTTTATAATTGAAGGAATTGAAAGAAAGAATGTAATAAGATAAAAAAGAAAAGGGTTAATTGGGGTTTTCCACATAAACAGTGAACAACAAACAATGTTTAGAAGAGAGAACTAATTATACAATTATCTGTGGGTATATATTGCTATTATTGTTTTGCTTTTTGTAGACGTTGTCTTCTATTTTTCTTTTCCCAAAATGTTTCATTGATATATACATGAAAGAGAAAATGGATAATCATATTGTTTTTTTTTTTGGTTATATCCATTTAATCGACATGTAACGTGGTGGACCCTCCAAGAACTAGTTCTGTATCACTGTATCTGTATGTATAATAATTTCGGGATGATCATTTTCCTTAAGAACAAAACGTATCTACCATTTTCGGAATTTCCAACCTCCCATCTTTGTCAAAAACAACCTCTTTTGGATGCATATATGATTGTATCGTTCGTTTGTATGAAATTAATGGAAGGTTAGCTTTGAAGGGGACGTTACTTACTTTTCAATGAATGCTTATTTATATTATTAGTTTTCAAAAAGGTCGTAGTCTCCTTCACACAGCGAATTATATAATAATCTGAACATGTATTATTGTCATAGCTAGATAGTTGACCCGTTGGGAAATATAGAAAATTCAAATTAATAAAATGATAGTTTGACTAAAACTGGGGGAAAAATGGGACGGAAAATTATATGCACATATCAGGTTTTTATTCAACATTTACTTTTGGGTAACGAAATGTAAATCTAATGGAATTGGTTGTAACTATATTAAGTTTTGATATAGCTTGCAAGCTTTGTTTGCCTTCGAGCCTCTCTTATAGTTAGTTAATTAATCAACCTACACCCACTCACCCACTTTTAATTCCAATAATATAAAACTATGATCTATAGTCTATCTTTTTAGATGGCGTCTTATTTTTTATATCGAAAAACTTTATCCACAAGCCATCTTGTGACATGATTTCATGATCCTCGTATAATTGATTTATTTTTAAATGTCATATCATCATTCATATTTGATATCGAATGTGATTCGGAATATATCGTTGTTTATGTCATCTATTAAAAAATACACTTGGGGGTTAATGAGGTACATAATAAAAAAAGGGGATTAAAGTGCAAAAGACTAGGGGGAGGGGGTGAATTGATAAATTACTTACCCCATTAGTTAGTTTAGTGATTAACTGATTTATCCCACCACAATTACGAACTGTAACTTGCATGAGCGCCGCCTGGAGCTTTGACGCGACTTTTTTTTTTACTCACGCGACTTTGACTATACGCGCCTCCAGAGCGCGTGAAAATGGCATTGTACATTTTTTCTCACTCTTTTTTTATTAACCTTATTTTCTCTCTAACATTTTTGTTTTGTTACTTTGATAACTCAAATTTTCTAATTAACGATGGAAAATAAAGAGAATGATGACGTCACGTACTGAGATGGCTCCACAGTTACGGCTGTTTGGCCCATATGATATAACCGACGTATTTTTTAAAAATGTATATTTATTATCGTTTTCGCAGGTTTTTTAAGAATCTTTCAACATGCCTCGTTAAATCTTTTTAACCTCGTATTGAGGAAAAGAGGTCGAACCCATGTCGCATCCAATGCAGACCGCTTGGACTAGAAGTTCCTGAAACAATCTAGCAATTTTATCTGGCAGAATCTGTAGTAATATTATATTACTAATTAGATTTTGTTATTGTTGGCTTTTAACTTTTTATCTTGATTGGGTAATTAATAAGGTAAGCATTTGAGTGTGGCTAGGTTTTAAAAAGAATAGTTTTGGACTAAAACCTGAGTGTTTTTGAAGATTTGGACTAAGCTTGAGTCATTAGTTTTTAAGGTTTCGAGAGTTTTTATTACTTTATAAGCGAGACTGAGAAATTCTATTATTAACGCTTTTGGAGGAACATAAATGTCTAAAATTGATATCAACTTTGTTTTTATTATTCAAATCGGTGTTTCAATTATCTATCGAGATTTAAGATCGTTAAAAAATCATAATACGTTTACAGTATAGTTTGATTGTAATATCTGCTTTTATGTTATATAAGAATGATACCAATCATCTATGTGCATGTAATATCAGAAATTTAAGGTTTGAATGGTGGCAACGTTTTATTTGTGCAAGAAAATCAGTTTAAGAATGTAATACAGTTTAATTGCAGTACATACAAGAAAATAAATTTATAAAACAAATGCGATTTATATATAATAAACGGTATATAATAATATTTGATTGGTGAAACAAAGTAATACATGAGATAAAAATATTTGTTAGATGTTATAAAAGATTAAACATTATATTTTTGAACAGAATTGAATATCTCAATAAAATTAAAATATTGAATTTTCAATTTAAAATATAATTTTTAATTAAAAACGTATTAGATATAACAGAACACAATAACAGAAATGTATAAAATAAAAAAAGAGATGTGTAATTACTGTACACTATATATTTCACTTTTTTACAAAACTCATATGTTATATTAATATTTTAATTAATAAAAGACAAAAAACGTACTATAATTTAGTTAAAATGGTTAAGTGGTAGTAAATAAGTAAAATTCAAAAAATTTCTAAAAACCACACAATTTAATATTACCATTTAAACCCTTAAAATTGTATAGCTCTTATGGTATTAAACTATTAATATGCTCCTCACAAACACTTTTTCTTCTCCATGTTAATTTTATGGTATAATGATCGATATCCTTTAATTAAGGAGGAAAAACAGCAACACTAAATAATAATATTATAGGACATTGTAGAGGGTGATTATTAAATTAAACGTAAAGTTTGGGTTTATATGAAAGTCGTGAAAGGTATATTCCTTTTGTTTATGGTTGTTGCGGTGTTTCCGTTTTACAGTCGTGTGGGGACACCGTATCTAGATAAACCGTTAGATGCAATCTTAATAGCATAGGAGATGAATCCAACGAATAAGATTACAGAGAGAGCAAATGGAGGATGACACAGAGGATCTGTGCACCTCTTTCGCCTGCAGATCCAGCGTGGAGCCAATCAGTAGGCCTGCTGTCAAATAATGTGACCCCACCACAGGTTGTTTTAATTCCTGATTAGTAATTTGCAACTCCCTCACCTTTATTAACCATAAAGTAGTTTGTGAAGATTATCGAATCAGGTTTTAAATTATCAACGTATTTAACAACATTAATTTTTGATATACGATTTTTTTTTTTAATTGTGAAAAGTGATTGGAAAAGGTATAAATCCCGTGCATTTGCTATGTGCCAAGATATACAGTATCTCTGTATTTGTTTTGGGGTTATTCACAATTTACATGTGCTCTATAAATGTGTGTTACAACTTTTTTTTTGTAATGTACTGTTTATTTATTTTGATGGAAAGAATACGTTACATAGAAGAAACATCTAAACGTTTGTAGTTCTCCAAACAAAAAAATAAACATTGTTTGTTGTAGTTAGTACGTTAAGTAGGTATTGGTAAGACTGTTTATATATATATATAATTAGGATATAATTAGGAGAATCTAAAGTAACTCGGTCTGATAAATTTTAAGACTTGTGAATATTCGAATTTTCTTATCATTCAAGGTGTTTACAGGTGGCCAACCATGATTTAAATTACAATGAACATATTTGAATATAGATCTTTAACTAACAAAATAATTCATAAAAATATCTGATATAAAATCAACTTCTGAGAACTTGGAAAAGTTATCAAGATAAAAACCAACATAAACAAAATCTAATTAATTATTGTTTATTTTTTATCTAATTTGAGTAAGTTGGAGAGCCAACTTAATTAGTGTAAGATACACGATTGCATGAAGGTACTTATTCAACATTTGAATCTACCTCCAGCCTGATTGATCGCACCACCCTCACACTTTGTTGGCAACTTGGCGTGGATCACAAACAAAATCTAGCATCCTATTGTCTACTTGCTTCATTTATGTTTATTTAACTAGTTCTAAAATTTTTCCACTCATATTTGTTTTATTTATAGATATATATATATATATATATTCTTATTTTTGGTCCAAAACAAACAATTCTGCTACACCAATTATAAGGAAACATTTTATTTTTGGTATAAATTCACATTTTCTAAAACAAAAACACTTGAAAAATGAAATACTTTTATAAATTTCAAGATTACAAAATGTATAAATTAAATTGCAAAAAAATCATATTTCATGTTTTTCTTTTCTTCGAAATCAATGTCGGGAGTATAAATTAGCCAATAATAACTTGAAATTTTCACGTAAATATCACTAGGCACAGAAATACACAATGAAGTAGTCTCCCACAAGTCACAACAGCTGAAGGATGCGTTTTCTCACATCAATCTGTCAAAATATATATACAAGTATACAACCGAATAATTCGCTCATAAGATCAATCCTTTACAACAAAATAAATCCTTTACTCGTCGTCGTAGATATCAAACATGGCGAGCGGTGACCCACTCCCAAAGCAAAAAAAAAAAAAAAAAAAACTTGCGAAAAACACAAAATCATGCAGATATTTAATGGTGTGTGATAATCCATTCCGTTAAAAACACAAATCTCTAATACAATTACAAAAATTTACTAGATTTATGATATTAAATCAATTTTAAGTTAGTTTTTTTTAATAAAAAAACACAATTTTGTTGTGATCATACACATATTAGAGAATATCAATCTTTCTGAGAATTTTATTGGTATTTTGAAGAAAACAAAGACAAAAATATTTTAGCAATAAATCACATAAATTTGCTAGATTTGATCATGTGCGTTTTCACAGCTTGAGATTTAATAAATACTAGATTTTAATCCCGTGCGTCCACACGAGAATGTTTTATTTTTTATTTTTAATATAAGTTACATTTATCTTTTTTGTTTAGATATAATTTTTTTTTGTTATTTATTTTTTTAAATCAAAAAATTGTTATCATATTTTAATTTTAAACAGTAAAATTTATATATTAGTAGAATAAGAGTATATATTAATTAAGTATACATTGATCTAATGTTAATTATAAATTTTGTTATTATGTGAATTTAGATTTACACATAAATAATCTATATATCTATGAATTTGCTAATCCATCCGTTTAGTTTAGTTGTCTTAAATCATTTTTAATATTTTACATGTTTTGACAAACTAACCCGTATAAGACTATAATTATAATTGTATAACCCTATAAATATTTACTAATATGGAATATTTGGACCAATTTGATTATGAAAAAATATAATAAGATATTTATTTACTATTTGTGCTATTAAAAAATGTATATATATATATATATATATAAACGGGCTAACCTGTTAGTTTAATTGTCTCAAATCATCTTAATATCTTACATATTTTAATAAATTATCTCATGAACCTTATATATATATATATATCTTATATCAGCTCGATCATATTATTGTATAATATAAATATTTATTAATCTCAAATATTTGATATTTTAGACCGATTGTTTGTGATAAAATACAATAAAATATTTATTTACTATGCATTTTTATAAAAATATTATTAAAATTTAAAATTTAAAATTAAATCTTTCCTGTATTTAAGAAATTTTAAAGTATTAAAATTATTATCTAAATTTCGTAATAAAATTTAATTATATTTTTTTTGAATTTTTTGAATTTAAATTAAATTGAATGCAAATTTTTGTAACTAAATTTAATTAAATTTTTAATAATTTGAAATTTAAATTAAAGATGATCTAGATTTTATGAAATCTAAAAATATCTAAATTAATAACTAATTTCGGAAATTAAATATAAAAATAAAATAAAATATTATAAAAAAACTTTGGGAATGTTTGGATGTAAATGTGCTTCTGTTTTAATAGAATAGATTTTCGAGGAAATCTAAGTGAGATTTTTGACCCTAATAACATAACTAAATATTTTGATTGGTTAAAAAGAAATAGCGAAAGAAATTAGTTTGAAAGAGAAAGGAATATGACCATTATTGGGTAAATCCGTAAATGCCAAAGCCGTAAAGCAGAATATACCGTAAATAAATTAAATTGAGGAAAATATATAAATAAAAAATAAAAAAGAAGGAAAAAGAAAACAGCTGTAGTTTACAAGTCGTGGACTAGCTATAACTCTCTCTCTCTATTAGAATATCAACTCCCCACTCAATTTTTTGCCCTTTTTTTTTTTCAATTTCGCTTTCAATTTTCCCTTTTCTCTCTCTCTCTCCTATGGAACCACCGCCTCCTTCTCTCTCCTCCACAGCGGTGGCTTCCACCGTCGTTCCCACAACCACCGTGCCTGTTCCTCCTCCTCCTCACGTGACGTCATCTTACCCCGAGTCTCTAGACTCTTCCCCTAGGTCTCGAACCACCGATGGCTGGGACGATCTCCCTGCTCCCTCCGGCGGCGGCGGCGGCGGAAGCGCCGTCTCTTCTAAACTCCGTCTTATGTGCAGCTACGGCGGTCATATCCTTCCTCGTCCTCACGATAAATCCCTCTGTTACATGGGCGGCGACACCCGCATCGTCGTCGTCGACCGTAACTCCTCTCTCTCTTCCCTCGTCGCTCGTCTCTCCAACACGCTCCTCAACGGTCGCTCCTTCACGCTCAAGTACCAGTTACCCAGCGAAGACCTCGATTCCCTCATCTCCGTCACCACTGACGAGGATCTCGACAACATGATCGAGGAGTATGACCGTACGATCTCCGCCTCCAATTCCACCAAACCCTCGCGTCTCCGTTTGTTTCTCTTCACGGCCAAGCCGGAAGCAACTCAGTCGATGGGTCAGATCCTCGAGAGCTCGGCCAAGAGCGACGATTGGTTCCTCAACGCTCTCAATAGCGCTGGCCTCCTCAATAGAGGATTCTCAGATTCCGATACAAACGTCAATCGTTTACTTGGTTTGGACGATGCTCTTGCTCAACGCTCTAATTCCGGAGAAAACGGAAACAATCTCGATTCCAGTGTCAATAATGACGATGGTTCCGTTAAAAGCGCCAAGCAGCAGCAGCAGCAACAACAAATCCAGCAGCCTCCGCCGCAGCAGCAAGGAGGGCAAGATGTGCACAACTTGCCGGATTCTCCGATGTTGGATACTTCCTCGTCTTTTGGGTCAACTTCTTCTTCACCCTCGCTCGCGAATCTGCCGCCGATTCGTGTCCACGTAGAGGAATCCGGCGGGGCTAGGGGGATGCAGGATCAGAGACTGGGCATCGAGGAACAGTTCGCACGATTTAACGTCGGGAATAATAAGCAGCTCCAGCATCAGCAGGAAGACGGATTTGCGGCGATCTCGTCACCACCTCCGATGCCTGTTACAATCGCTCTCCCAGCTGCGCCGGTGAGCGCGGCGACCGCGTCAAGCGAGTTCCAGACGAGGGTTATCTTAGACGACGAGAGATCTGATCACGGTGTTGCTGCTGGATACAGAAAGCCTCCGACTCCACGTTCGCAGCCGCAGAATCTTGCTCCTCAGCAAGCTCATCAGGTGAAATCAAATAGCGGTGGAGGACACGAGCTACCATCACCCAATTCCGTTTCAAGGTACTCTTTTTTCCCCTCAAATGCTGATGGTGTAGAGCTAGATTGGTTAGGTTCTGATATGTGTTTTGCTAAAATGCCTCACAGTGATAGCAGCATGAACAACCCAATGTTCCACCCAAAAACTTCGGCTTACCAAGAACCCATATCTCAGATGCCTTCTGGTTCCACTGTAGTTGCTGGTTTGATCAACCCTTCGGATCCAAACACACTCTTATCCCAGAATCAGAATCAGGAGCCAGGCTACATCATTAACCCTCAATTCGAGCAACAACAATCTACACAATCTCAGCCACAGCTGCAGCAGTTCATACACGCTGCTCCACCACAATACATTCATCACCATCCCTCTAGTGGCCGTCCTGTCCCGACTTACATCCAAGTTTACCCTTCCCAGCAGCAACAGTCCTTCCACAGGCACCCAGGTCAACTTGATCAGCAGCCTTACCCTGTTTATTACGTCGCTGCTCCTCCCCCACCTATGCCCTACAGTGTGAGCGAGGCTCCAGGGTCACTCCCTTCTAGCCATCCTCAGGCACCGCCAAGTTCCACCATGATGCCTCCACCTCCCAACAACCACATGAGAAGTGTTCCTGGTGGCAAACCTGAGACTGGGGTTTACACCACGGCGACAGGTATGGGCGGTGCTCAGATGGTTCATCAGATCCCTACAAGCCAGCAGCAGTTCATGGGGTTTTCGCAGATTCATCACCCGCCTCAGTCTGCTTCAGCTGGCATTCCCAACTATGGATATGAATACGCGGACAATGCTCATAAACAGGTATACTACACGCAGCCTCTGGGACACGCACAGTACCAGACAATGACCGGGCCTCCACCTGCTATGGTGTTGCCTGATGGCTCTGCTCCTGCTAAGCTTCCAGCTGAGAACATGACTCAACAGATCCGGAGTTCACAGCCATTGTGACATACGAAGGCACGAGGAAGATGGAACACAATTTTGGAGGAAGAAAACCCTGGGTTGGTTTTTTAAACATATAAATATATAATTTTTTTTACTTTCTTTTTTTTTATTTTTATTTTTTAAATTGCTGCATCAAGAAAGAGTCTGGCTTCATGTTGGTTTGGTATTATGGATTATGTCAAAAAGTGTTGTGTGAGTATTAGAGAATAAGGAGGTAGTGCTGCTTTCTTTGGAATTTACATTATAGTTTCTCGATGGATACTGGTGCTTTACCATTTTCCTGGATCTTATATCATATTATTATCATTCATTTATACTGTAAATGATTCCCAGTGGCTCTCGCTTCACTCCTTAACCATTTCCTTTTTTTTTTTGTTCTCCGACTTGTTGGAGATTTGAAGACCCTAAAATTGTCTATATGTTTAAGAATGCTTGGATGTTTGTAAAACATTTAGTATTTGGAAAAATACCTGTTTCCTCTGCATTGCTTTATCTTATCCATGGGAGCATAAGTACAGATAAGGGATCCATGTGTTTGGTCTGGTCTTGGATCCACCATTCACACAACCCTACAACTTCTCAGACAAGGTGTGGGAGAAAAAGGTAGTGACAAAATCGGCTTGTCTTGCAATTTGGCTACATAACTTTTCCTTTTGAAAGAGAAAGCATTTGTATCATCACGTAAACCCCAAACCCAACTCTTTTTTTTTTTTTCTTTCTCTATCCATACTGCCGGTTCATGATATTGTATTCTTGCTCTAGACTACTGCCTCCTAAGTCAAGCAAGCAACAGAGAGCCTCTCCTTAATTGAGTTGTCATACTCAGATGCTGTTATACAGAGTTCACCGAGTGAAGCTGTGCCTGGTTGGGTTACAAAATCTGAAACAAATCTCTTTGTGGTCAGCTCCCCATCCCTTGGACTCAGTGGAATCAAACACAAGAGGCCACAAACTGAATCTTGATGGGTCTTTCTTGTCTTCTGTCTCTTACCTGTCTTCTGTTATGTCTTTTTTTTCTTTAACTCTTCTGACACTCTTTCAGCATCAGCTTCAGGCTATAAATTCCTTATCAGTGAACTCTCTTTCTCATCCCCCTTTCTCTTATCTGCACTTGTAGACATCAAAAAAATATCAATGGACGCAAACACACCTGCAGAATTTTCTCATGTGTCTTCCAACTTTCATTCATACTATTCGCACACAAAGAAAGGTGGTGGCGTAATCGATCTAGGTCTCAGCCTTAGGACCATACAACATGATACTTACCTCCCATCGGGGAGAAGTGAGTTTCTTTACTGCTTTCAAAGTGAATATTTCTTTCACCTAATCGTTATTTAGTTTACTTAACCAACGCTTGCTATCTACGATATCTATGTGAATCAAAGTGATAGGTCTGGACGGGTATGGTGAGCTCATAGACTGGTCGCAGCCCAGCTATAGCAGCAATTTACAGCTGAAGAGTGAGGAAACTGGAAACCAAAGACTTGCACAAGGATATTACAATGATGGAGAAGAGAGCAGAGGCAAATTGTCCTATGTGAAGGTAAATATGGATGGCTTAGTGGTAGGCCGCAAGATTTGCGTTCTTGATCAAGGAACCTACTCAACTCTTGCTCTTCAGCTCGAAAATATGTTTGGTAAGCTGTGCTCTGCGTCTTAACTTTACAGCTACAAATATGTTTCCGAAGGTTTTGCCACATTAGTTTGAATTTGCAGGGATGCAGACCATGTCCGGATTGAGGTTGTTCCAGGATGAGTCTGATTTCTCTTTGGTCTACAGAGATAGAGAAGGTATCTGGAGGAATGTTGGGGATGTTCCATGGAAGTAAGCTCTTACCACAAGTCTTACACTTTCTCTATATACAAAAAGTTGCATTTTAACTAAACCACGTTTGTAATCTGCCTGAAACTTGACATATAGGCAGTTCGTCGTAAACGTGAATCGGATGAGAATCGCAAGAAGAAATGATGCTCTTCTTCCCTTTTAAAGTTGGAAGTCGAAGCCTATCCTCTCCTAGGGCGTTTACTGTTTCTCCATATCTTCATATTAGCTCAATTGTGATTCTTATATTCAACATCTGATGTAACCGAAGCTTTAAATAAAATTATGAAGATAGGGACATCTTAATAACCACCAACAAGACAGGACAAATAAGAAAACAAAACAAAAACAAACGATAACCACATTGGTTTCATCAGGCCTAAGCTCTAAGTACTTGCAGCTTCCTCTATTAAAACGAGCTTTATGTTCTGAGATCTGTGCAAATCTCTAGATCTGTCAATCGTCTCCCACGGATAATCTGTCGAGAGTATCGGAAACGTGCCTCATGGTAGGCCTTTTCTCTGGACTGCTATTCACGCAACTAATTGCAATCTTAAGAACAGCTACAATCTCGTCTTCTTTATCTGCCTCAGGAGCTAAACAAGGATCAAGAACATCACACAATGGTTTCTTCTCCTCAATGCAAACCTGTACCCACCGAACTAGATCCATTTCCAATGTCCCCACCTCTACTACTGGAGACCTACCCGCGATCAATTCCAGTAAAATGACTCCGTAAGAGTATACATCCCACTTCTGAGACGGTTTTACCATCTTGAGAGTCTCAGGTGCCTGATAGTAGGAGCCAGATGAAGAGTGAGCTGTGAACTCGGAAGATACGCTCTTGTGATGGTGTTGCTGCCTCTCTTCCGTTTGGATGATTCTGTTTGACTGTATCGTAGGAGAAGATCCTCCAGCAATGTTAGCCAACCGTGCTAGTCCGAAATCAGAAATCTTAGGTTCCATGTCCTGTCCGAGGAGAATGTTGCTGGGCTTGAGATCTCCATGGACGTATTTCTTGGGACTAAACTCGTGCAGATAAACAAGCCCTGTCGCAATCCCTTTAGCTATCCTAAGCCGTTCACACCATGTCAACGGAGCAACAGTCACCACACCAGGCTTTCCTACACACACACAGAGGCTTATAATGACTTTACATGATGTAATTGAATGATGCAACTTGAAATGAGATAAGTGACTCACCGTGAAGAGCGGTTGCGAGGTTACCATTGGGAACATAGTCGTAGATGAGAAGCTTCTCATCAACAGACCAATAATAAGCTCGAAGACTAGCAATGTTAGGATGTCTAAGTTTCCCTATGGCTTCAACTTCTGTCTGAAACTCCTTGAATCTCTGAGACCCTCCTTCACCTAATCTCCGGACGGCCAGTGTGAGCCCGTTCTCTAGAACAACTTTGTACACAATGCCGATTCCGCTCTTCCCCAGAACGAAAGCCGACGCCTTTAGCAGCTCCTCCAGGTTAAACGCCACCTGAGCGTCGAGGGCCACAATATCGCAATGCTCCAGGTTCTCCGATGGCGTTTCCGATTCGTCTTTCCGGAAGCACAGGCACTCTGCAGTTCTTTTCTTGGATTCTTTCTCCAATCCGAAGTTGCTCCCGTTGTTACAAGCGCAGAACTTTGAGTAGCAGTAAGTGAAAAGCAAACCCACAAGGCATATTCCGATTACATCGCAAAGAACAATGGCAATGACGGCGCTTTTGCTCAAACCGCTCGATTTCTGTTTGGTTACAGAGTTACTATCGGAATCATCGGTTTGGTTGTTGCTTGGGATAAAAGGGTAGGACGCATTATGCCCGAGCTCATCTCCTGGACAAAGGTCCTTCAATGGCGGCCCGCATAGCCCCGTGTTGCCGATAAACGCCGTTGGTCCTCTGTTCATCAGAGCACCGGTTTGAGGAATCGGACCGGAGAGATTATTAAAAGTGAGATCAATGTAAACCTTTTCAGGAAGATCTCCCAGTGCAGGTGGGATTAAGCCTGTGAAGTGATTATGAGAGAAATCAGCAGTTCCTTGCAGACTAGAGAGGTTTCCGATGTCACTGGGGATCGAGCCGTTGAATTGGTTGAAGGCGAGGTCGAGTTTCTCCAGAGAGACAAACGCTGAGCCAAACCCATCAGGCAAAGGACCAGAGAAGTTGTTTCGGCTGACATCGAGCGTTCTCAGCCTATTGCATTGCAGAATCGAAGGTGGTAACGATCCATTAAAGAGATTCTGCGACAAATCTAAGGTCTGAAGAAGCTTAAGCCTACCGATTTCGTCTGAAACCGACCCATCAAAGGAATTGCCGTAAAGTACTAAACTTTGGAGTCCCTGGAGCTCGAAAAGCTGAATAGGCAACGACCCATAAAACCTATTGCTCCGGAGATTCAAGTGACGGAGACTGGAGAGAAAGCCTAAAGAAGAAGGGAGAGTACCGTAAAGATTCTTCCTTGGGATGCTCAGAGACACCACCTTGAGTTCATTGCAAGTAACACCGTTCCAAGAACAGGCGTCGTTGTCCGATGAGTTCCAATTGCTCAGAGAACCTGTAGGATCCTCGTAAATGCTCTGCTTAAACGTCAGGAGAGCGAACCCCTCGTCGTTTAAGCCACTCACAAGCACATGGGGAACGTAGTTGCAGAGAAGAGCAACGAAGATGATCAACGAGGCCAACATTTCAGATGAAAAACTAGAACAAAAGGACGAGTGCTAAAGCTTTGTACACAAAGAGAAAGAGAGAGAGAGAGAGCAAGAGGAGTGAATAGTGATAGTGATGGAGTAAAGAGTAAAGTGTAAAGAATAATAAAGATACTCTCGTTGAAGAAAAAGGAGGAAGAAAGAATACAAAAGGTAGAGGAGCTCTGTTTTTTGGACCTATGAAGCATTGGGAGAAGAGAATCAACAAAAAAAGAAAATACCAAGATTGAGTAAAAAGAGGTGAAAGTTTGACAAAAGAGAAGCAATGGCGATTTAATCCGTACCGTTAATTTGTCGCAAGTTTTCATTAATCCATTTTTAACTACTAAAAATCTCTGTTATTTGTATTTCTAATCCTTTTTGACCAAATCTATCATAATCTCTTATGTAAAAATGTAAATTCAGAACCTTTTTCAAATAGTTACATACTTTTATATACCTTTTGTCAGGATTATTGTTTTATTCTGAAAAGTATTTTATTGGTGAAGTGCAGTGTAGTCTTTGATTGATCTGTCAAGTGTCAATGTAGGTAACATTTACAGTGCTTGTCCTTTTCTATTCATCTATCTTCCCTAATTTCCAATAGATTATTAATTTATTACTAATCTATCTGTAATCACCATTATAGTATAATTTTGTACTAACTCATAACTCATATATGTTGCAGTAAGCACAAAACCCCACAAAATACCAACTGTTACATTGTCCTGAAGGACCTAAACCATACTATTGTATACTTTTTATCAACATTGATTAGTTGTCAATATTAATTCAAGTAAGTCATTGAACTTACTAATTGGCGCTTAAGACAGATCTAAGTAAAGTGTGAAGATTTTAAGATAAGAGTTACTCGAGAACGTCGTCATAAGATGCCACGCTCCTTCTTTGTTTATTCCCCGAGGCTTCTTTTACAATATCACATCTTCTTTATCTTACTTTTACTAGGTATCAAATTGATAATTTCTTAAGAAAAGAAATGCTAAATGCTTAAGTTTTGATGGATATAACTTTTTGGTTGGTTAAAAGTTAATTAAAACTGCAGATTCGATCACTATTCATCCGAAATCAACGGATCAGATTTAAAGGTCAATTAGCGAGGTTCATCCAACGGCTACACAGCACTGGCACATTTGATGATAAAAAAGCAGAGGACACGTGTACGCACCAAGTGTCACACTTTGTTCGGCCCTTCTTGTCGTTATTCTCGTTATCATGATACGATAAATTGTCGATAAGTGGACTTGTGAAATGTGATCTTTCGTAGTTTAGGATAGAGATATAGAGCCCTAAACCCTAATCCCAGAGAGCGGGCCCAATCTGTAATTCTCGTCTCGTTCTTGGTCACGGACTCACGGCGACGACTCCGAGGGGGAGCGGGGGCCTAATTGGAGAAATTAAACATTTTGCGGTTTTAGCGTCAAACAGAGCTATCTTGGGGCACAAATTATAAATACGAAAACATTGTAATTTTGCATTTCTGGCACGAGCGAGACTGATCTGGAGAAGTGAACGTCAACAACAATGGGAGAGGCTGCGATCCGTACCATCGTCGAAGCGATTCACTCATCGCCGACGCAGGCCGTCGTGTATCTCTCCGGCGGCGCCTCCCTGGTTTCTCTCTCTCTCCACTCTCTCTCTCTCTATATATATATATGTATGTATACACACACGATTGCGTCATTGCGTGTGATTGTGTGGTTTGCAGTCTCAATTCGGAACTAATTTCAGGCTCTAGGTTGGTTGATGTCGGTTCCAGGAGCTTCGAACACTCTTCTCGAAGCCGTGGTTCCATACTCGAGGATATCTATGGTCCAATTACTCGGCAGGGTCTGTTCTCAAAACCTCAATTTCAATGGCAATCGTTCCCGTTGATTCTCTCTTCCCGATTAAATCAGCAGATTTTTTATCGCTCTCTTTCTCTCAGGTTCCGAGCCAACACTGTAGCCAATCAATGGCGAACGAGATGGCTTTGTTAGCATATAATCGTGCGCTTAAGCTGTCTAAACCAGGTTCGTGCAAAACCAATTAAATTAGCGGTAATTTGAATTGGTCTCCTTCTTCAACATCGTTGTTGCTGCTTAGGAATCCTGGAACTGTTCTAAATATGTTTCGTAAACTTGTGGATAGGATATTCGGTGATTGGTGTGGGTTTTACAGGATCATTGGCAACTTCTCCTCCAAAGCGTGGCGATCACAGGTTTATGCAATTTGTTTTTTGGTTTACAGCTCAAACAACCATATCAGAGGATTTAGGTTTTTTTTTTTTCTAGCATTGGTTGCTTTAACTCATCTCTGTTGTTTGTTCCGCGAGTAGATTTTTCTTGTCTATGAGAGCATCCGACCGTATCTGGGAAACTGGAGTCACTCTAACAAAGGTGTGATGACTGCAAGATTCTTTCTCCCGCCTTGCTCTTTTAGTCTTTAACATCTAAACACTCATGTGTTTTTTATCTTATTGTGGAGAATTTTAGAACCTACGAAGCCGAGAGGAAGAAGATAAGGTGGCAAGCCGTGTACTGATCCAGGTGTGTTTATAAAGCTAATTACAAGTCACAAATCTAGTACCTGCCTAGGGCGTTGGCGTCTGATTTGCACTTCTCTAGTCTTTGAAGACAAAAAATGAAAAACTGACAAGTTAGTATTCAATTACTGAAATACTAAGATGGATATTCTTCTGGGCCAGTTTCTATCCATACTTTTGTCAGCTCGTGTAACTTTTCAAAAATCACTGTACGTTGAGGTACTCATCTTGGAATGAGTTCTTAAAACTTTTTTCTGGTTATTATCTTAGGCTATGGCCAAGGCATGCCAAGTTTCTGAGACACTTGACTCTGGCTTGACCAAGTCTGAGGTGGCTGATGAGTCGGAAACCCAGTTTAGTGAAGAACAAGAGCTAGAGCAGCTTATAAATGGACAATTAAGCTGTAAGATTTATCCATTTTCTAGGGGTAAGATTTTGGTCGTTTGACCCAATACAATTTTTTATTTTATTTTTAATAACTGAAACCTGCATTTGTTGCCATTAACGGATGAAGTTCTACCATTATGGCAGAAGCATACGGGTCAGATAAAGATAGAAAGATTATACTGCCTGGTTCGTTTAATCCACTACATGACGGTCATCTCAAGCTGTTGGAAGTTGCTATGAGGTAGGCTAGTATGTCTTTATTATTTGCTTAACGAGCACCTGCTTCTCTTTATGTGAACACGTTTAAAAGAAAAACCATGGTTAATCCTAACCATTAACCTGAGTCTTCTTTGTATCTATTAATGTCTTTGGCTCTTTTGCTGACTCTATGTTTCGTAGTTAAATCTGATATGCTATATAATGCAAGGTAATTAGTAATTGATCATTTTCATTTGTTGTGCTATATAAATTGATTCGGTCGTTGGGTTTTGAAGAGGTCTCGGGTCTTTTAACATTTTTATAATCTCCAAGTTAACAACAAATCAAACTGTCTTTTTTTTTGCTCTGTAAAATAAAATGAAAAGAATCTCACATGCAGAATTGTTGACGCAGTGTTTGTGGGGGCGGGTACCCATGTTTTGAAATATCCGCAGTAAATGCTGACAAACCACCGCTTTCAGTTGCACAGATTAAAGATCGTGTCAAGCAATTTGAAGCAGTTGGTAGGCATAATCTTTACTTTTCACATACTACTTATTCATGTTTTCAATCTTGTGCACCACCTCTTTGGCATCTCTGAGTTACAATAATCTTATGATCCAGATTGTTTCCCGACAAGGGCAAGACCAATCAATTTTTAAAATCCAAATTCATGCTAGTAGTTTTCCGATGCATGGTTATTCACTCGTGCCATCTTTTGATATTGGTTAAGTATATCGTTTGTCAGGAAAGACGGTAATAGTTTCAAATCAGCCATACTTCTACAAGAAAGCTGAACTTTTTCCAGGAAGCAGTTTTGTAATTGGCGCTGACACTGCAGCAAGGCTTGTTAATGTATGTATAAATACTGAACCTTTTCCAGTTTTGCTGATCCTTTTATTTGTTTATTTCCTTAACCCTACAATTAGATTTGTATATGCGACGATGTGGCGATTAGCTACTTAAAACTCAGTAAGACACAGACGTTTGAAGTGCTCTAGTATCTCCCAATTCAACGCTATCAAAGAAGAATGATTAAAGATGTTAACTTTTTGCAGCCAAAGTACTATGAAGGAAGCAACAAAAGGATGTTGGAGATACTTGGTGATTGCAAGCGAACAGGTTGTACTTTCCTTGTTGGTGGCCGCAATGTAGATGGTGTCTTTAAGGTTTGACCTAAGCACTAAAGTCTCGAGCAATACAATTATTATACTCTATGCCTTCTGTCTTAAGCCTTGCTTCTCTGCAGGTTCTTGAAGATATTGATATTCCAGAGGAAATAAGCGAGATGTTCATCTCAATTCCAGAAGAAAAATTCCGGATGGATATATCGTCTACAGAGTTAAGAAAAAACCAAGGGGGTGTTGATAAGCGGAAACGTGAAATTACTGAAGAAGAGGAGTAAAGAAGAAGTTGTCAACACTTTTATGGAGTTATAATTGTTTCCATGTTCCCTTAGTCGCTGAAAGAAGCTAGAGGAAGACATCTGAATAGATCATTATAAGCCTTCTTCGTTTTCCTTTACTTATGTGCTTTTACAATTCCTGTAACTACATAAACCGATAACAACCTGGTAACAGCATTAAAACAAAATAAAAAGGAAAAGCTACAGATAGCGTGTGTTCCAAAAGAAGAAAAAAATGTAAAAATTGAGATCCTTGACTAGAAAATCCAAATTCCAGTGTTTATTAATTGGAGGCCAAAGAAGAAACGGAGACAAGAAGAAACAAAACTGTTTCAGGAGGATGGACTCGTTGCATACACTGCTGATTATTAGGGAGCGCTCAAGAACAACTAATTCTAAATCTAATCTAAAATGGTAATTGAAAAAATGCTAGCTTTTTTAATATTTTATAAAGCTATATGAATATATATAATAGAAATTGTATAATATCAAAAAATCACCTTAACTTCTAGAGAAATTGTTAGCTATGGCATTCAACTTATATATTTAAATCTCTAAGAAATTTTATTCAATACTAAAGAATACTTACAACCAAGTATCCCTTATAAATCAAATAAACTAAACTGTGATAAAAGCATATATATATATATATAGCTTTGCTTTTCATTTCGGCACAAGAAGTACTACTCCTTCTTGGCGGCCCTAGGAATTTTATCGAGAACAGAGGATTTGAATACTCCAACAACCATTTTCTTCTGCTTCCCAAAGAAACTGTCAATGTCTTCTTGAAATCGCAGGTAATAAACCGGAATCGTCATCGAACAGAAGAAGCCTGGAAGGGATGTGAGAGTTATTATTAACAGGGGAAAAAAAAATGAGAATGAGTGACAGGTCAAGTAATTATGATCTTTCTTACATATATACAAAAATGTGACTAGGTTGAAGTAGCTCGCAACGGTGTCTATGGTGGCCACATAAAGGATGGTCTGCATATGCCACACAAGAAAGTCTATAAATGGACAAAATGATTCTTGAAATTTGTTTAGTGTAACGTACGGTAGCAGAGACTAACCAAGAGAAAGGTTATGATGTCTTTCCCATATGCAATCTCGTACAGCATCAAGAAAAGGCTCTCGATCTTTGAAACTAAGGCTTTAAGTGGTGAATCTTCTAGTTTCATCTCTGCAGGAGTGGGAGGTCTCCTGTTTGAGATCACATCATCATAGAACTAATTAATTAAGCTTCTAGTTTCATTTGTTTCTTAGTCGTCAAGCTAAAGAAAAAAAAGGAGAGGATGTGTATTTGGTACGTACAGAGTGAAAAGTAGTTGTCCAAAGTTGGCCCAGAGGAAGAGGAGGAGCATGAGGAGTAACAAGATTGAACAGAGAAGGGGTACAAACGGAATCTCCTGGACATCAGACATGTACCAGAAAAGTGTGGCCATTGCAAGTGTTATGCCTGATTTTATCTTGTCTTTCCACAAACATAAATCCGCCACTGCAACAACATTTCTTATGTGTTAGTTTTAAGGTAAAATATGTAAGGTCTTAATTATAATCTAATATACGTGAAATTGGACGGGTTAATTCATAGTCAAAGATCTCGTAACAAAAGGAGAAGAACACGTTTTTTGTAATCTTTTTTATGTTAAGATGGAGAAGAAAATGATAAGTAGAGTATTATTATGATGTCACCTGCTCCGTCGCCAAGTATTTGATCCACAAGAGACTTTTTTGGTTCTTGTTGTGGTGATTTAGGCATTGCTTTTTGTTGTGATTTAGACCTGCAATCTCCATAAAACTTTGTCAAGAGGGATTAAATAAGAGAATTACCATTTAATCTCTATTGTCAGCTTTCATCGGCATGCTTTTTACTCTTAAATAAACTATTAATCATCGCTTAATCATGGTAGCTTTTATTATCCCAAACGCCATGGGGGTCGTTTCTATTTATTATTAACATTTGCATAGAAACATAGGATATACATGTTGTCATGCAACAAATTAGTTTCGCTGTTAGAAAATTAATATTCTTTTAATTTCCACTCTTATTATTACCCGTTGATTGCTTTCTGGAATATTAATACACTGTATTGGTATTTGGTAACCTTATTACAACTTGACTTTCTTTAAAAAAAATATCTATGCATTTAGATTGAGTGATTTGAAATTTATCTTACTCCTTTATAGAACTATGTCCGCCTTGGAACCTTTGAACAAAATATCTGAACACTTCAAATCTGTAAACAATAATTTTTTTCAGGTCAGTAACCTAAAAACAAATTACGATATCTATGCACACGCGATAAGTACAAATATAATTAACACAAACGTACAGAATTATAAGAAATCACAAGAAACGTCGAAAATTAAAAAGAAAATGAAATAGCAAGCATAAACTTATACGGATACATGCGTACTCACATATGTACGTATGAACACACCATGATTGTCTAAGTTGCTGATCAGTGATCATGCATTATATACACAACATTTGCATGCAAAAAATCTGATGCAATTGACTTTTGTTGATATTTAGCTATATCCGGTTCTCTGATTTTGTTAAATCATTTAGCTTATATTACCTTTTTCACAACATTTACTTTTGTTATACATCTCAAAATCTCAATATATATGCACCTCTTTATTTCTCATAAATTTGTCAAATGAATGTGTATAATTATAATGCATCTATATACAAAGTATCAATGCAAAATGAATAATTTCTCCATTTCTTTTTTTATATATTTAGCTGTGTATCCATTTCCTTTTTAATCTGCAAAAATAAAAATAAAGAATTCATTATTCCTTTTTCAATGCTTCACTTTTTTTAATAAAAAAAACATGTTTATTTTAAGTAAATTATATGAAAATGTGTAAAAATCATTGAAATCATTGAACACATGTTGAAATTTGCTAAATTATAAAATTGTCAACATGCATGCATGTGTAACATCCTAATAAAACACATAATCTTTCAAAGTTAATTAATTGCCGTGAGAAAATATGTTTCTTAATAATTTTATTTTAAAGCAGTCTTGGTATAATAGTTAATATTCATACCAAAAGTAATCCCGAAAAAAAAATAGTCCCAAAAATCATACAATGCAAATCCTATCCACTATTGCTACCGAGATCGGTCTTTTCTATTAAATTTTCTTTCGCCCCGTAATTGTCAAGGCTAGCCTTGATATTCCTCTGCCATGACTAAAAAAAAAAGAAACTAAAACATAACCTTTTAATAATTTTAAAACTGAGATTAGTTAACAATTTTACTGTCATAAATAAGATTCTTATGGATGTCAAAAAATTATTAAAGTTTGATCAATTTCACAGAAGTCAAATAAATGAGCTTAGAACACCTTATATTACCAGATGAAGATAGAGGCTGTAAAGTAAAACTTTTTCTTAAAACACCGATTAAAGATAGTGTAGAATTACTGGAGATGTCTACAGCCCAAACTAATATCCAAAGAAAACAAAGGAGAAAGCTCAAAATGTCTTTTAACTTAATAAAGAAGATCAAAATTATCCAGGAGGAAGCATCAAGTGAAGATAACAGAGATAAGACTGAGATTGGCAAACAAAACATTCTAATTCATCCTCCTGATAAGCTCATTGATGAAGTTCTCACGGTTTCCGGCATCACCACCTTCAACGTAGTGATTTCTCTTCTTCTTCAGGCCACCGAGCGGTGCCTTGAGCTGGAAGGGCCACAGGAAGTTGTTGGCCTCCTTGAAATGAGGTCCCACTGTAAGAATCTCGTGGATCAAATCCTCAGTGCAGATGATCCCATGTTTACCCAGAGCCTGTTGTTACAGTGGATGAAATTAACACCAATACTTCATTTCAGAGATTCATTTAAGAAACTAGGGGGCACCAGAGAAAAGGAATTCGAACCTGCTCGACGATAGAGTTGTCAGTTAGAGCAACCCTGTGGTGGTTAAGCTTTCCGTATCCTCTTTTGTAGATCAATTCCTTAACACTCTTCAAATTAGGGAACCTGAAAGGGAGAGATAGAGAGGTTATTAGGCGTTATTATCATTGCCTAAGATATCAAAGGTTATAAGGTTGAGATATATACCCGTAAGTCACATAGGGCTCAACTCGACGAAGCATGTTCATTGTAGCCTTGTTGACTTTGAGGAAAACTCCATTGAAGATCTGCATCAGATTTGCAAAATTCAAGCTTTCTTCAATTCTGAAGGAAACACATCATGGAAGCAGCATAATAATATTGCTCTTAATGTCGACACATATACACACAGTCTACTAGAAGAACACCGATTGTCTAATGTCGTAATATCAAACATGATCAAGAACTACGGTGGGAAGACGAGAAAATGATAATATTGAACTGTCACTTATGTCCTAAACCTAATACCAATCAGCAGAGAATCCATCCAATGACTCATAAACTGAAGAAGAGAACAGTAGACAAACCTGTCTCAAACGCAAGAGCTGGAGAATCTTCTTTGTCTTTGGGTCAATGGCATTAATACTGCGAATTTAAAGGAACAAGAGATCAGCAAAAACAGCATTTCATCTCTTGGAAATGAAAAAAAACTGACACAATGAACATACATACCCACGGATACGAATGATGAACAAAAGCTTAGCTTCAGGGTCAACATAGAAACCTCCTTTCAGCTTGGCTTGACGTTTCAAAGAGATCAACTCCTTTTCCTATAATATATAAAAGAACAAACAATACTCATTAACCCAGATAAAACTAACAACGATAGATCTAAACAAGCATACATACTCTTCTTCGATTTGGATCTAACGAGAAAACGAAAATAAGAAATTTAAAATTACCTTCTCGGCATACTCCTTGGAGTACTGCTCGGCTCTTTTGTAGATGAGCTTCCTGTTCTCGGCGTTCTTCTTCTTGGCAGCTTCAGCATTCTGCTTCTTCTCCAAATCCCACTCCGCCTCTCTCTTCCTCTTCTTCAGCACCGACTCCGGAACTACAACCTTCGATTCTGCCATTTCCGATTCCTGCAGGTCAACCAAAGCCAAATCGATTACCTCATGAAGACAGTAAACTAAATTCACAGAGCTAAGATGAGTGACGAACAAGAATCAATACTAACCTCTGTCGAGCTCGAATCAAACGGAATTTCCAGAGACGAAATACACTGCGGCGAAGAGCGATTATATATATGCTACTCACTCAAATTAGGGTTATGCAGGATATCAATGGGCCTTACAATGAAATTGTTTTCTCAGGTCCATTGGTTATTTAGTGTATTGTAAAGCCCGTTTTATAAAAGCCCATGAATCAATCCGTTTCTTTTTTTTTTTTTTGGCAGAACTCATGAACTGTTGGTCTATCACATGTGTGATTCAAAGATTGCAAGGGATTTTGTGTTTCATGAACTAAACTATAACTTTGTATGAGGTAGCGTTTAATCATTCACATTTACTCCAAAAGTTTCTATTGCAAACATCATAGTACGTATTCGTATACAACAAAAGGGGTTAGCCCAGGGTTCACATACATAACCTGACAAAAACTAAACTCGTTTATCTATAACTTACAGATAAAAGCAACGTAGGTTTGAGACCAACCATCAACATTGTTTGAGTTTAATGTTAAAACTCTAGTGAACCACTCTCAAAAGTGCTTTCACAAATTCATGTCTTTTGGTTGTTCCTTGTCCAAAAAACTTCCTTTTAAAATGGTACTTTAAAGTCATATCAGCGGCGGCAGAAGAAGAGGAAATCAGGGTGGCTGACATGACATGAACGCAGCCACTTGTCAGCAGCATGGAAGAGGGAGTCCACTAGCTCGTGCTCAGAGCCACCATTGGCTGTCCATACAGAACCTCTGAACTTGTATGAAGCGAGGCCAAATACAGGCAATTGCATCTTCTCACTCTCCCTTGACTGCACAAGGCTCATTGGTTGTGCACTGCCTGAACCTACAACAGCCGAATGGTGTGAATAGATCTATCTATCTACCAAACAATTATCCTTGATAAAATAAATTGACTTCGCAGAAGCTAACAAACTCCTCTCGTGAACACACAAAAACACCTAGTTAAGTGATCAATAGTGTAAAAGTTATCCTACTTTGGATAGGTGTCACTACAAGATTGGAACAGTTTGGTTTCAGTCAAGTAGATTTGCCCAGTTTCGTGAGGATTCACCCTGGCTTATTAGAAAAAGTCCAATGCAAGTTTTGGTTTACCTCCAAACGGTGTGTGAAGGGAATGATACGTCAAGAAACAAGCATCCAGGTCCTTAAGCGTAGGTCCTGTGGGTATTCTGTAAATTGGGTACCTAGAGAGTATATAATGGATTCTCAGAGACGTGAACAGCATATTGGCAGCAAGAAACTGCACTCAAAGTACAAACAACAATACCATGCCACAGAAAACCAGCTTGAAGGAAGTAAGTCACAGCTTCTTAGCGTCTTCAGCTGGGGAAACCGAGCAGCAAGGTCAGCAACCTGTAATGCAACATAGGCATTAGTCACGAGGAGCCGGATATTAACAACATACTTACACTAGTTTCCCATTACTCGGGAGCTTAGATGTGGTCTAGTTTAAGTTGATGACCAGACCAAATCCTGATCGGATTGAGCATTTCTGATTAGTTGGTAGCCAACAGTTGACCCACATTAACGTTTTGAAAACAACTACGAGCCATTTCTTTAACGAAAAAAAATGATGGTAGTGCTGGTCATATATTTGAAGTTACTTGCAACATATGATGATGTAATACAAGTTACCATTTAAGAACTCTGATATGAAAGAGATATGTGATCAATAACATCTATCAATAGTTTTCCAGAATCCTTTAGCGAGTATTTACTATTTCGTATATTCAGGCATGCTTTCATAATTCTGATATGTGAGGTTCTAGTAGAGAAACCAAGACACAAACCTTATCAGCCAAAGGTTCGCGGATGTACGGAAGGTCTCTTTCAAGATACTCAAATATCAAACGACCTTGAGAGCTTAAAGGTTCACCATCATCACTCGATGAATCTTCCTGATGTTGATCACTCAATGAGATATGGTCCACTCTAGCAGAAACCCGTTCAGAATCACTATCGGTGCTGACATCGCTACTTGAATCCCGGAAATCGCTGTCGCTACCATCACCTGGCCGCCTGAAAATGATATAAGAGCTAGTATCACGAAAACTTGTTATCGTTCTGTTGTGAGAACACAAAAGCATAGTAATATCTTAACCTTGCTTTAAGAGACGAACTCAATGCAAGAGTATCAGCATATATTTGAATGCCTGACAGGGAGGGCACATAGTATTGGATAACACGATCCTTGTTATTCAAAACTAGAGGCACTCCTGTGCCGTAGGCGCTCCATTCTGCAAATGACTCCCAAATATCTCCAAGCACAAAGTAAGGCACAAGTTTATCATCATCAGCCCTTCTTTCTCGAAGCGACGTCTGCAGAGATTTTCATCACCATTAGAGCACAAATCATCGATACCCAAAAAAAAACGAATGAGTTATCCAAAATCAAGAAATCGAAAGCTACTGAGTTCTTTCAACAATGGACAATAAAAAAGATTATTTTTTAAAAAAAAATGCATAAACAAGCTGGAAACGCAGAAAGTCATTTGACATGTTCAAACAAACCTTAGATAAATACTGGGCCGGCACGGATGGTGTGACCGACTCTAGAAACCGTTCCAGATTACTAGACGACGACGAAGCGGACGGCTCAGAAACAAGGCTAGGAACGAGTTTTCGCGAGGCAGACTCGTTCTCGCAGTCACTGTTCATGGAACCCACGATTTTATCCTTGGGATTAGCTGATCGACCATTAGAGACGTCGCTCTGAGCTCTACGCAGCTGATCGATGCGCTGATTGGCCCTGCGAGCTTTAGCGGAACTGTAAAAATGGTCCTCTCCGTGTCGCCCTCTCGTCAACTGAAATCCAGCTCCCAACATCTCTTTCTTCACACGATCAACGATGACGATGAAACTGATAAACGGGAATGATAAAGCGAAAGATGAAAACAAGGGATTCACACAATAGCAACAACACTCCTCCCAGTACTCGTAGTTGATTGACCTATCTATATTAGGTCGAATAAGTTGATATGGGTGAATATGAACACGGAGGGTGTCTCCGATGAGACGACGAATAAGCTTGGAAGAACAGCCGAATCGGAGATTCCAAGAAGAGGGAATCGATGGAAGCAAGATGAATTGATTGAACAAAACCCCAACCCGATTTCTAAGCTCCGATTAAGGAGGCAAAGATTGATGAAAGAGGAAAATCCGAAAGCAACAATGAGGAGAGAGTTTGAGATTCAGCTAAAGGAAATTAGGAATTTCAGGAGTTTCAAAAAAAGGGGTCAATGAAGAAAATGAGGAGGAAGAAGATTGGTTCATATTTGGAGGAGAGAGAGAGAGAAAGAGAAAGTGAGTGGGTAACACATAAGCCCCTAGTAATTTTGGTTTTTTGCATTTCGTTCTTATACTTTACGATTACTTATAAGTAGACCCGAAACTCTCGTTTGTAATTGGCATGAGGTCATATCCATATTTACCACCTAAGGCAGTGCAATGTCAGTGATTTGGGTTAGGAATGTACTTTTATAAAATCTAAGGAGAAATCTGGACTATAGCAAAAAGGATAGGGGTTAATATTGCATATACCGGAAAAGCCAAAGGCCATATTAGGCTCTTTAAATTAATGGTGGATGCTGTGTGCTTGCTAGATGCTGACAAGATGCAAAAAATGGCAAATTGGCATATATAAATTGTTTTAAAATCAGCAAAAGAAAAAAGAAAGGCTGTAAGCTTTTGTTCCTTTTTTTTTCATAGATAAGCTTCAAAAATGTTGAAGAATATACTGTATTTAGTTCATTTTTCTTTTGGGTATTGTTGTTTTGTTATATCAGAGTCAAACTGTATATATAGTACTATTCAACTAGTACATCTACTCCATTTATTATTCCTTGACAACAACAAAAATAACATAACCATAAATGTTCATCATTCTTGTTCACCAACTAGGGCTTGAGTTAAGCATGATTTATGATATTTACTTGAGATTAACAGGGGTTTTAGACTAGTGAAGTGAATGAATTTCAATGTCCGTGTACACGTGAATCTGCATTCTGCAATAACCGGCTAGTTTATCAGTTGAATATTTTATTATTAGGGGATGTCATATTGTCATGTGCACATGACCGACACATTATAGTTTTCTTTTTGCCGTACCATGATGGCTTCAAAGGTCCATAAATAATGAATTAAAATACAATTGGTGCATGATTAAATCTATAAGCATTCGACTAAGATTACATGGAGTAGAAGTGGGGATTATTTAACAAAATGATCAATTTTTCTTTTTGACAATAATATGGAGCTGAAAATAAAAATCCGTGGGCAGAAAAAGAGATTTTTTTATAGATGAGCCCAATACGGCCCAAACACTTATGGGCGTACTACGAATGAAGCCCATTATTAAATTAGACGGAGATTAGAAAAGTCATGAGTGTGACCCACGGAGTTCAATGAGTGGTTAGAAGTACGACGTCGTTCACGAGCTTCTATATCACAAAGCTTCATTTCTCTCCATGGAAGAGGAGGGAAGCTTTCTCTATAGATCTTCGCTGGTCTCTGCTTCCTCTCTCTCTCTCTAAATCCTAACTCGAAACTTTGAATATCGTAGCGTTCGTATTTAAAGAGTGAATTTTTCTCTGCTTTGATTCGATTTGATGTCTGTGGTACATCTGGTTTTGTTCTCCGGTTTACTGAGCCTTGTAATTGCCGTGTCTTCTTCTCCGGGCTCGCGCTCGATTCTCCGGGATATCGGCGGTGGAAACGCCGATCAAAAAGATAAAGCTGTCGAATTGAACACTACCAACTTCGATTCAGTTCTTCGCGACACTCCCGCCAAGTATGCCGTCGTCGAGTTCTTCGCTCACTGGTCAGTTCTCCCATTTCCCAAGCCCCAGAGCTTTGATTTCGATTGCTTAGAATGAAAATCTGTTTTAGAAATTCGAATTTTTGGTTGGTGGGTTCTTCACTTTTTGCTACCTAAAGTTTGGTACTGGATCTAGCGTGGAAAAGATTTTAACTTTATCATCCTATTCGTATGTTTCTACCAATTGCTACTGTAGATAAATGCAAAGGGTTTATATTCTCCACATTAGTGATTTAGGCGGATATTGATTCGTGTATCGTTTCACTTGATTCTAGGTGTCCTGCCTGCAGAAACTACAAGGTAACATCAGTAAATAACTATTCAACATCTGATCTTTGGCTCCTGCCTCTATGCGTTTTCGGGAGATTTTCATTGCCTAAACTGTTACTCTGCAGCCTCATTATGAGAAGGTCGCAAGACTCTTCAATGGACCAGACGCAATACATCCTGGAATGGTTTTGATGACGAGAGTTGATTGTGCAATGAAGGTACTTACTCCACGTTCCTTATTTATCTAAACAAGGGCTTTATGAATTCTGTTGGTCAACTAATCCTGATGCTAAATCGGTCCATATGATAAATTCCCTGGCAGCGCAGACGAATACCAAGCTCTGTGACAAGTTCTCCATTTCTCATTATCCAATGCTCTTTTGGGGTCCTCCTTCAAAGTTTGTCTCTGGCAGTTGGGAACCTAAAAAGGAGAAAAGTGAGATACTCGTAATCGACGACGGCCGCACAGCTGACCGTTTACTCGACTGGATAAACAAGCAGATAGGCAGGTTTGTGCCTTAAATGCTCCGGACTTTAATCTTCAGCATTGGCTCGAAGTATATCTAACAAATTCAAACGTTGTTTTATCTTTCGAGCGTATCTATATTTTTTCTTGAGCTAGTTTGTCAATATCAGATCCCTATAGACATCGTACAGATCTCTGATTTTTTTTTTTCTCAATATTTTGTAGTTCTTATCGCTTGGATGATAAGAAATTCGAAAATGAACATGTCCTGTCAAATATAACCAACTACGAACAGGTTTCGAGACTACTCTCTGCCTAACTTTAATGATACTAGTAGTGTTTCTTTTAAGATCAAACAAATTAAAGATAACTGGGTGTTGATTTGCAACAGATTTCTCAGGCTGTGTATGACATTGAGGAAGCAACCGCAGAAGCTTTTGATATAATATTATCACATAAGGTCGACAAATCCATATAATTTTTTGTGTATTTGTATTACCTTCTTTCAGTCGCTCTGTTCGTGGTAATCAACAAGTATATTCGTGATATCCACAGGCCATTAAATCATCTGAAACAAGTGCTTCATTTGTTAGATTTATCCAGCTCCTAGCAGCACATCACCTATCCAGGAGGTAGATTAAAATCTCATTATCCTAATGTCTACATTTGTGTTTCGATGGTCACCTTCTTTTTTCTCACTTACTGTATCTTATATTCTAGGTGTCGGAAAGGAGCTGCAGAAATTCTAGTGAACTATGATGACATATGCCCTTCTGGAAAATGCTCTTACGAAGAATCTGGCGGGAAAGATACTCTGGGAAACTTCCCTATTTGTGGAAAGGATGTTCCGCGTGGATATTACGTGGGTGCTTGATACCAACTCTCTTACGGTTTTTCCTGTATAATCGACCTTTGAAATCTGATTGTCCTAAGTTCTTATTTGGCAGATGTTTTGCCGTGGCAGCAAGAACGATACTCGCGGATTCAGGTATTGTAGTCCTTTTGGTCAAATTTCATACTGTGATCCTTCAATCTCAATCTGCCCCACTCGTATCTGAACTATTGCTTAAATGTTTGACTGTAGCTGCGGATTATGGGTTCTATTTCATTCACTTTCCGTGAAGATTGAGGATGGAGAAAGTCATTTTGCATTCACGACAATATGTGATTTCGTCAACAACTTCTTCATGTGTGATGAATGCCGTCTGCATTTCAACGACATGTGCTTGAGGTAAAAAAAATACAAATCATAGCTCGATTAATCGCCGTTTTTTCTCATCTAAACCACATATGCATGCATTTTCATGGACAGCGTCAAAACTCCTTTCAAAAAGGCACGTGATTTCGTCTTGTGGGTGTGGAGCACGCACAACAAGGTCAACGAGAGACTCATGAAGGACGAAGCTTCTCTCAGTACAGGTGACCCCAAGTTCCCCAAGATCATATGGCCACCAAAAGAGCTTTGCCCATCGTGCTATCTCTCGAGTGACCAGAAAAAAATAGAGTGGGACCACGACCATGTCTACAAGTTCTTAAAGAACTACTATGGGCCCAAGCTCGTCTCGGTTTACAAGGAAAAGAGTGTCATCGGAAGCAAGGAAGAGACGAACATAGCTACGGAAGACTTGACAGTTGCCACCAACGCTCTGGTTGTGCCGATTGGAGCTGCATTGGCAATAGCTATCGCCAGCTGTGCATTTGGGGCGCTTGCCTGTTACTGGAGGACTCAGCAGAAGAACCGCAAGTATTGCTTCTATCTATTTAGATCTAATGATATAGCTAATAAATCTCTTCCACATATTTTCTTACCCCTTCTGTTCATTTTTTTCTTTTCAGGCCGAGGAGAAGCTGGAATTGAGCATCTAGAAGCTCTTAATGTTTTCATAATTTACAGACAACAAACACAGAGGCTCTTGTTTGGAGTTGAGATCCCAAAGTTGCCAGCTTCAGGTCCTTTTTTCGTAAACTTTTGTATGTCTCTGATTTGAAAGAGTGTACAGATTCTTGTCTTGAATCTTGGAATACACACATAGATAATTTGTGAATGTTGAAATCTTTCAATAGAAATCTTTAATATACACATGGTTAGAGTTGTTTTGGAAGGATTCAATATAATCTTTTGTCTCTCGGCTATGCAGATCTTGAAAACACCTGGTGGTGCGATGAGAATCGAGAAATAAGCTTTGCAAAAGAGATACTTTTTTTCTTTTCAATCTCTTAATCCAATCCAACATTTTACATGTATAAGTGAGAGAGTATATTATTTACAGTGACATTGACTTTCGTGTGTGTGAAAGGAAAGAACAGTGCTCATGGCACGCCTATAATGTAAGATTGCGTTTGAGGCAAGCGCCATAAGTCTGTTTCTTCATCAGACGAGTCTTCAGAGTCAGAGGTTTCTAATGTCTGAGAATGGCGACGGCAGGTGGCGACTGCTTTGGTGACGACATAGATTGGTAGCATGATTCCGAGTACTCTCAGAAACAACAACTGCAAAACAAAAGAACAGTTAAAGTTCATCAAACCACATGCTGGAATCTGTCATGATATAATAGTCGAGATCATCTCTCACCGTAAACAAAGGGAAGACATGGAGGTTTGATCCGTTGAGGACTAAAGGAAGGGTGTGTCGCAGAATCAGAAGAGCCATGAACTGCAAAAAGAGAAGCAAGAGTTTAAGGCATGAAAGTGTTATAACTGAAAGGTTTGGTTTTTAAAAATGAGGACTTTGTAGCGTGCGTACAATGAGAACAAGGGAACGGCAACAGATGAAGCTTGTGGTGGAAGAAAGAGGATATTGGTCGTCAAGAAGAGTGGAATCAGCAGGTACTACTGTGATGAAACGATGCTCACGCTGAGATATTCCCCAGTTTCCCCTGAAATGAAGAGGAACATGACCTAACTCTAACAATGGAGCGGGCGCTGTATAATCCGGCTTGAATTCCTGAACAAATCATATCTATATAATCTCAGATACGTTCAATTTTCAACAAGATCAAGAAACCAAAAAGAGAGACACAAAAGGAGGAAAGACCTTATGGCAAATTTCGCAGGTTGTGTCACCTTTCTCGTTACACCATCTCTGCACGCACCTCCGATGTGCATACTGCCAACAACAACATCGATCATCTAATATCAAATCAAAGACTCTGTTTTTCATCTAAGAAGGGGAAAAAATGTTTTAGTTATGTAACTTCTGTTGTTACCTTCAAGCTGCCGCTGCAAGAACAAGGAGTCTCCATGTTTGAATCCAAGTCCTCGTCGTGACAAATCCTACACAGCACCATTGACAAATCTCCATTACGCAGCTTCTCAAGTGTTTTCTCATCAAGGATTGTACATTCCTCCTCGACGGGTATATTGGCTTGTAGCATCCGGTTCCTGCTCTGAATCGCTGCCTCAATCGTCGATTCTGTTATCAACCGATCCACCAGAAGCACGAAATGGTCTCCCATGTCTTTCTTGAAGATAGAAACTTGCAGCTGAAGAAACCTCTCTTTTTAATTAAATTCTTCTCCCCTTTTTCTTTGGCTGCGAATTGATGATAATGGGGTTGGGTTAGGAACATAGAATCATTCGAAGAAGCAATTCGCAATCAATGCTAAGGAGATGGCATACGCAACATGAACATGTGAATGAGAAGCTCCTCATTAATTGAAAGAGATGAAAAAATATCTTGAAATTTAAAAAACAGTTAGATCAAGCGAATCAAATACGCAAAAACGTTTTTCTGGATTATGAGAGCCATGTTGGATTTGGTGAAGCTGAACCAAAGCTGATTGGTTACCAACTTACCAGAACACAAAAGCTGTAAAACTATACTTTATTATTGCCTTCTATTTTAGTTTGTTTTTTGAAAAAAATTAACTGAAACAAGTTTTTCGAAACAGTTACTCGAATTCACAGAAAAACGGTAGAGAAAAGGAAATTTAAAAGTTCAATCTCAAATTATACCCAAGAAAATTTTAAAAAGTTAAATCGACGAATAACGCGAAGGAATGTGAGTTTACCCAGATAACAACGTTTGAACGAAATTAAAAATACGCCGCGACGAAATCATATAGAGACAAGAGTCGCATACAAACGAGAGAAATAAAATGATTAAAAGCTAGAAATTGGAAAAATCCGAAAAGAAAGGAAAAATCGAGAGGCAGACCCAGAATTTAGGACAAGAGCAAATGGAGAAGAGAAAGAAGTTTGTACCGTTTTCTTCTCTTTTTGTCTGAAAAAAAAAAGAAAGAACGGAGAAGAAGAAGAAGTGGAAAAGCGAAGAAAAAGGAGGCTTAGAAGAAGAGAATCGTCTTTTCCTGAAGTTAAAGCCTTAATAAAAGCTTCCTTTCTTTCTCTCTGAATTATTCAGGAGATAAACAAAAAGTTATGTGTGTGTTTACAGAAGAAGCAAACAGATGGAGTATAAGATTCTCGAATCTTATGATTACTAGTTCACTTTATATATCAAAAATATCAATATCAACTAGAAACGTATCGTATATAGTACATGGATAATTTATGTAGCAATACATTACATACATCATACATTCATACTTCATACACGTGGCCGTTTTTATCGTAGTAATGTATATAAATATATTGGCCAAAGACTCAAAAGTAGCTAACCAAGGTGTAAAATAAGTAAACAACTCAGCAAGAGAATGCATTAAACAATAAGATTAAAAGAGGATGAATTTTCAAAGCTAGGCCTAGGAGATTCACTAATGACGACGATCAACAGTATTTCATGCTTGATTCGCTTGTTGAATTGAGTGACACGTGTTACGTTGTCCACTGTACGTGGAGTGTTTGAAGCGTGTCAGTTAAAAGGTGGTGGGATGAGGTGTGCCAACACTGATTTTTGATCATTTGACAGGTTGATTACTAACCACGTACTAATTTATGTTTATGGCCGGATTATTATGATAATAGTGCATTATAATTGGTCTTTTAGGCCAACTGTTCTACCAAAAACCAATTAAAAATTAAAATCTATTCACTCCCTTTCTGATTACGCCAATTAGAATATTGATTTATCGCATTTCAACGATCTCGTATTCGTATACAATGCTTACATCAACAAAATCACTATGAAATTTGAGAGAGAAGAAAAAAGCACTTTGAAACTCGAATCCAGTCAAGAAATTTGATTGAGAGAATATGTGTAGTAGACTAGTAGTGAGCCTACCAATATCGAACTTGTATGAGAATTAACCGAACCGAAGCAAAGCCCAACATATAAGAACGTACAGGCCCAATACTAAGAAAGAAGCATTCAAGAAGGCAAAGAACTAAGAAATATGATCAAAGCAACCAAAACTCTGTGAAAAGTCAAATCTCCTCACAGTGACATCATAACAAATCATCCGAACCTATATCTATTATGATCTAGATCAGTTTCTTCTTCTTCTTCTTCTTCCATACAACCACAATCCTCCTTGTCCTAAACACCCCAAAAAACGACAAAAACCCAAAAAACAAGAACGAAACAAAATCAAAACGCCTGCTTGTTCTTGATCTTGACACCAAGCTCACCTGCAATGATAACAGTGGAAGCCATATCCAGAAACATACCATGCTCCACAACTCCAGGAAGCCTCAAAATCTCATCACTCACTACCTTCAAATCTCCCATATCCTTGTCCAAATACATATCCACAATGTAATTCCCATTATCCGTCACAAAGGGCTTCCCTTTCTCTCCCAACCGGAGATTCGCTTCGCAGCCGTATCCCTCCAGAAGCTTCCTCAGCTTCTCCGCCGTGAATTTCCAGCAAAAGGGAACAATCTCCACCGGAAGAGCAAGCTTGCTCCCACCGATATGCTTCACCATCTTCGACTCGTCGACGATCACCACGAACTTCTTGGAAGCTCCTTCGATCATCTTCTCACGGAGCAGAGACCCTCCTCGTCCTTTGACGAGGTTGAGAAAAGGGTCGACCTCGTCGGCGCCGTCGATGGAGAGGTCGATGACGGGATGCGCGTCGAGGTCGGAGAGAGGGATTCCGACGGAGAGAGCCTGCTCCTGCGTTTTCTTCGACGTTGGGATTCCGACGATGTTCTCAAGTTTTCCTTGCCGGAGAAGCTCGCCGATTCGGTCGACGGCGTGTTTGGCGGTGGAGCCGGTGCCGAGTCCGAGGACCATGCCGGATTCGACGAACTCGACGGCTTTGAAAGCGGCGATTCGTTTGAGCTCGTCTTGGGTTAAGATCATCGGCGGCGGTGAGGGTGCTTCCATGGCGGATTTTTCCGATGTGATGAAGAGAGGATCGTACGCGAGCGCCATTGATACCCCTCTTCCAAATTCGATAGAATCAAATGAATTTAGGATAAAATGGCGGAATTGGGAGGAAAAATCCAAAATTGAAGAAGATTACAGGGGAGAATTTGGTGAAAAAGAAATCAAATTTGTAGATAATTCGAGATTGGTTTGGGAAAATTTATCAAATGAATGAAAATTTGTATAATCCCTGAAACGTTCGGAGGGAAAATACAAAAATTAAAGATGAATACGAAGAACCCAGAAGCAGAATTGGGTGGAATTAGGAAGAAAAGCCAATACTTTGGAGAAACCGGGGATTAGGAGGCAATGAATAGAGGTCGAATGAAATGTTTGTATATATAGAATTGAAGACTAGCGTAAGAAATATGAAATTGCGAGGAAGAAGAAGAAGAATATGTTTGTGTGGTGGCGGAGAAAAGAAAGTGAAGACTGAAGATAGGGTTTGCGCGAAAACAAACGAATAAAGACACTCTTCACTTTTCGACTTTCGAGGATAGACAAAGACACGAATCTTTCGGATTTTACTTCTGTCCCATGTCTTGTCTTTATTTACATAAAAGAACTCCAACTTTATTGACTTTCTTTTTTTACTACAAACAATTTTATTGATTTTAAATTATAATTACAAAGTCATATAAACAATTCTGAAAACAAGTTATTAGAGATATTTTTTGTCTAATCTAATTTACTAACAAATCATGTAATTTTTTATTTCCTTTTTCCGTATTTAATTTAAATCTAATGTTGAAATATGTGCATTTATACCAAGAGATCTCTTGACTAAACTTTTGAATTCGAACAACGTGATAAAACCTAATGCTAAGAACTTCTACAATATTGTATCAACGCTTCAGTATCAGCGCTATTGACAATTCCCAAAATTAGTACTTCTCTTGTCTTTATATTTGGTCCCCTTTATATTTTTGGAAATAACTCGTCTATCAATTTTTCTACGCACCCGAAATTTCTCGGGTCGATTTAGAGAAAATCAAATTTAGGACAACGCACAGAATTTTTATAGTACCGCATAAATTGTGTGTAAAAATGAACTATCATAAAAGAAGTGAAAAATGTGGTAACGCAAAAGTTGTTGGGCCCAAAAGAGAGCAACCAAAGACGCCGCTCCATTGCCCGTTCGCTTCTTAAAGGGTAAACAAACCTTTTTTTTTTTTTGAACATCAAGGGTAAACAAACCAGGCAACAAAATTATCAACAAAATGATAACATGGACCAATAAATACGAGAACGAAAGTAATACTCATCATAAGAAATGTTTATGTAATTAGAATAGAAAAGTACAAACCCCATGAAAGAATAAACTAATAACAAGATTCTAAACATATCTTAAGCCAAAAGTTTGAAAAATCATATAATAAAAGAATATGTGTATATATACAATATAGAGGAACCAATATATAAAATAAAAGAATTTGTTGTGTGCAAGTAAAACGAAATGGGCCGAGCAGATCAGCCAACGTGGGCCGATGTTGCGGCGGCGAGAAGCCACTGAAGAAGGTCAAGAACGCGAAACGCGAAAACAGAGGAGGAAACGGGAACGCAGACGAGGAGGAGAAGCAGCGTCGCGATTGCGACGGTTGGGCGAGAGTTCATGAGGAAACTCTGGAGAAGACCAACGTAATCGCAGATAACAGAGTCGTAGCTGCTGTAAAAACGCTTCTCCCAATCCATCCAATGAGAAGGAGGCTCGTAGTTTCTCTCAACCATCTTCATCTCGTGGATGCGTTTCCTCAGAACGATCATGTTCTCGTCCACTAATCTTCCTCCTCCGTAGTAATGGTCTTTCCCTGAAGACGCAGCAGCAGAGACGCTCATCGTCTTCGTCTTCTTGTTATGTGTCCACGTCATCGGTTTATTCGGGGAAAACACCAGTGGATTGAACCGGAGCGGCGAGATCGGAGCCGGAGAAGAAATCATAGAAGCTTCCATTGTTTCTGAGATTGGATTTGTAATCGTTTTAATGATATTTGGGAATGTTGAAAGAAAGTGAAAGGAGGTCGTTGTTTTGTTGGTTGGAGAAGATGATGGACAGGTGGAAATGTATTTATAAGCGAATTATTTGGATCTTAAAAAAACAAAACAAAATTATTTGGATCTTAACAAGCGCGTTGCGTTGCCAATCTCCAACATTGATAAACGGGACCCACTTTTCTTCTCTTCCACGTCATTTTCAATTCCACCTCTGTTTGCTTTAATGCTCTCAAGCTTCGGTGATTTCTATTTAAAATCTTCTTATTACACGTCTTTTACTATTCATCAATCACCATCAGTCATGATATATGGATATTTAGAATTAGATGTTTTCTTTAGTCGAAAATTCGTTGCATCGCACTTGTATTGAGGTTGAAAAAAGTCGATTTTTTTATTGATAAATTTGACCCATGTATTGTTTATGAGATCTGGCTGCCGAAATCAAGACACACTCTGAAACTCTAGATACAATTAATCGACATAAATTACTAAGTAATGTGCAAATTAATAAAGATTTTCTGGAAAAAATAATGATAAAATGTGAAGTGATGACAATGTATTGGACAAGGTGAAGCGATGCATTGTGAAACTTCCTAACGGTACGTTAGAAGACCATCTCCAATTAGGAGCTCTAGTAGTAGTTTTTAAAACGGTATGTATATAAAAATAACAATAAAATATTAGAAGGGTTTTTAAAAAAGAAGAGAGAGTATCTATAACCTCTTATTTTAAAACTCTTCTCTCCATTTTTTTGAATTCTCTCTCCTCTTTTAACATACTTTCATTTTATATAATATTTTAAAAATTTTGACCAAAATTTTAAGAACCCATGGTTGGATGGTTGGAGATGTTCTTAACTTCTTTTCTTATCTTAGCTTGCTTTTGGGAAACACGGCATTCGGAAAGTGAAGTGAAATTAAGAAGCCTCCAAATTTAATAATGCATATATATACATACTAGTTGCTCTTTTCTATAACCATTAAATAACTCACGATTGAGAAGCCTCTCCCATTTGTTTATGTAATTGCACCTGAAAAAGCGCACAAGTCGGTGACATTTTTTAATTATATGCGGTTACTTCATAGTATTTTCACTAAATTAATGTTTAAACAAATCAACGAGGGAATTACTAGTACATTACATTCCGATGCTTTTCTTTTCTTTTACTAGTACATTTCGCTTTTATGTCTTACAATGTCAAAAAAACTCATCGTCAAATACATTGGCAGATCACTTATCATTGTAAAATATTTTGTTAGTAAACAGAAACAAAAAGCGTTGATCTGCAGGCAAGGCAAGATACGAAGGAGGATGTTTGGACCGGACGCCACGTCCCCAACCGATGGGTATTTGACTTTCTCCCAATGGGCGGCTCTTAATATATACAGTATTATCTTATTTACTTGTTTAATTAGGAAACTAATTCGGTTTTTAGAATAATCACATAATCTATCTGAATTTAGTTGGGTTTAGAATCTTCAGACGTCGAGCCTGACGTTAACACTGTTGAGTTTTGAAGTTTTAAGGCAATGTTCAATGTTCCCGACATTTATATTATGTTGGTTCCTCGCTCACAAATTTATTTGAAAGTCACCGCAATAGACTTTTTCTTCAAAATTTTGTTTTCATTATTATTATTATATTGTGGATAAAACAAGAGATGACACAAGTCGTTACGTCAAAGTCTCAAAGAGTGAAAACAACCCTAATGAAATTAAGATGGGCCTTACATTGGGTTCAAGGCAGAGAGTGGTTAGAGGAGCACTCTTTTTATTCACATCTGAAAGCAACTCAACTTCCTCTTACTCTCACTTGCTACCTGCTGGAGAGTGGAGATGAATCCATAATCACCACAAAGCTCAATTTATTAACTATAAAAAGTCATTCGAATGTGTTGTGTATATATAGAACTTTCTTTCACCTTTAGTTAACCGTATTGTTCTTAGTATTTTTCTTTGAGAACATTCGCCATATAAATTCCCCAATAGATGGTTATTAGTAATTACAACTTTACAAACCTTCGAGGACAAAGGGACGGATTTCGCCGAGCTCATCCGATGATGTTTGACTTTGATCGTCAAGTGGCTGCTTGAGATCATCTTCAGACTCCTCCGTTTGATCAGCCTCTGCTTCATCCAGCGGCTCCAGCTGCACTCCTGGATTCTCAGTATCTCCATCGTCCATAAGAAGCTCAAGCTTCTGATACTTTGGCTTGTTCTTCTCCAGTAGAAGGTACGTGGTGCAATACCAAAACATCAGAATCCGGCTTTGAGCTGCTATCGTCTCTCTTATCCGGCTTCCTTCAAACGAGAGACGTTCTAGCGCCTGCAAAAAATATCGATTATATCCCAGAAACATTTAACCTCCGACGACATAAAAGACAGGGACAATGGGGTTTGGTATAAACTAGTTGTTACCTGTTCTCCAGTCTGGACGTCAAATGAGTTCTGATGATCAAACTCGAGGCCTCTGAATTCGTTGATGCACAGTCCCTGGAAGGCCCTGAACAAAGACGAGAGGATGTTAAAAGAGTAGATATATACGAGGTAATCATCGCTGTATAGTGATTTGGGATGAGATAATTTCACCATCTGATTAATGAAGCACGAGGAATCCAACGGAAGATGATTGGGGTATTGTCTGCGTTGACATAGTAACCTCCAAACACGATGAAAACTGTCATGAGAGATGGTCCCACAGCCATTGCAGCTTCTGTGCTTGGGACCATAGCCCCAACTGTTAGACCCATCGCAGAAGCAGCAAAAGACTCCACAGTCACTATTCCACAAAACTTCCCAAATCTGACAAGAAATCTCTTTGTTAGGGATATTAATGTCATGAGTATTCCTCACTTGGGTTCATTGGTTGGTCAAATTCACTGAGAAAGCTCTAGAATGGCATATCAGTGCGATGCAGGTTAAGGCTTATGCATAACATTTACCTCGGGGAAACAGGAATAGTTAATGATGAAAAGATAGGAAGCTGAGGAATTACCTAGACAAAGTGGGATTTAGACGAGCCATGGGATACAGTACAGCACCAAATATCAAAGGAAATGCAGCTCCAATGGGAATTTCAGCTATTGTTTTGGAGAGCAGGTAAGGGCCTAAAGAATAAGACCCTTTGGACCGTTCTCTATCCACAATGGCACGCTCTTTAGGAAAGACTCCAACTGTTTTTGTGAGAGCTGCCATTGCCGTGTTTATTGCAGCAACCTGAAGCATACATACATCATTTCTTAGTATATTAAAAAGCTCCACACACTTTGCAGTTCTTTAACGACACAAAACAAAAAAGAAAAAAAAAACAGAAGATAGCGAAATCAAAATGTGTTAGACCTGAAGCAAACCCATTCTGTCCTGAATTGACGTCTGAGACTTCCCCATTCTCCAGAAAACGGATCCAAATATCAGAGCAGATGCAACAGACATTCTTGCACGGACTTTGTTTGTTGGCCCATCTCGAGAAGCCTATGGAATCAAGTGAAGAAACCAGTCAGATAAACTGCTCAAGTTAACTATGGTTACCATTCATGGACCCATATATGATGCCTACGGAGTTGGGTGAAATTTTCAGAACATAAAATGCTCAAGAAAATGTCACATGACAGAAGGAGACAATTCAAAGACTCTCTTTTGTCTTTTTCTTTTAAGCGTCTTCCTTCATTCGTAAATGTCATCCTACTTCATAAAATTGTCGGTCGATATTTCAGGAAGTCAGAGAAGGCGTTCAAGCCCAGCATGTTATAGAAAGAGTTCTAAAATTATATCATTCGTAAATAGGAAGGATACCTGCATCCATGCACGCTTAAGCAGCAAGAAAAACTGCCTCCACCAACCATCTTTTCTCTCAACAATAGCTTTTCTGCGAGGTCTCATGCTCTTCTTTGTTTCTTCTTTTAAGCCGAGGGGAGTGGCATAAAGAATGGATGATGAACGCTGGGAAAACGCATCAACAAGAGCATGTACTCTCTTCTGCGAAGAGTAAACACTCTCCGAAGAGCTATAGTCAACTGATATGAGATCAGCTAGAAACTCAGCAGGATTTACGTGCTCTGGGCAAAGAAACCTGTTCAAAGATCAGAAGAACAGTTGTCAGTGGTAAATCCCAAAGCACATACTTAATCGGGACATGTGATATAATAAGGGGAAATGTTCAAAAAAAGCTACCCGAAGTTTCCGAAATATGCCAAAGGTTCCTTCCCTGCAGGGCCGGCATAGACTAAAACTCCTTCTGTAAGTAACACAACGTCGTCGAATTTAGAATACACCGAACCTCTAGGCTGGTGTATGGAGCAAATCACAGTGTGTCCATCTTGTGCAAGTTTTCGCAACGTCTCCATCACTTGTTCAGCCTGGAAGGCGTCAAGCCCTGAAGAACACAGGAATTTTTCTTCAGCGTTAAAACTTAAAACCAATCCATTAATGTTTAGAAGTAGACAGAGTAGGCATCTACCGGTTGTGGGTTCATCAGCAAATATGACAGACGGACTAGCGATCAATTCACATGCAAGTGACAGCCGCTTCTTTTCTCCACCGCTGATCCCACGAACTTTTGCATCACCAACGCATGAATCTGCACAGCTGACCTTTTGGAGAGCCATAAAACATGATCAAGAAACAGATTCCAGGATATCAATTTGCCACCACGTTACATTGAATTCAGAGACCAATTGAAACCTCACCAGACCAAGTTTGAACAAGAGGTTGTTCACATACTCATCCCTCTCCTCAGTAGAAGAGATCTCCGGAAGTTGAAGCTCAGCTGCGAAAGAAAGTGTTTCCCTCACAGTCAACTGCGAGAAGAACAGATCCTCCTGTCTCACAAACGCAAGCCTGGTGTAGCAAAAAAAACATTCAGTCAAACAATGATCAGGTTTAACTCAAATATAGACTTGTATAACTCATAGGACATACTTATAAGCTTTGCTCGAGCTCGGTTTCCCGTTGACCTCCAAGAGACCTGATAAATGCAATCGTGGTGATGAACTAAGCTGTCCAGCTAGAACATTGAGCAATGTTGTTTTCCCAGATCCT